ACACCCACCCACACCCACCCACACCCACACCCACACACACCCACACCCACACACCCCCACACACCCACACATCCACACACCCACACACCCGCACACCCGCACACCCACACACCCACACACCCACACACCCACACACCCACACACCCACACACCCACACACCCACACACCCACACACCCACACACCCACACACCCACACACCCACACACCCACACACCCACACCCACCCACACACCCACACCCCACACACACACCCACACACCCACACACCCACACACCCACACACCCACACACCCACACACCCACACACCCACACCCACACACCCACACACCCACACACACACACACACACACATGCCCACACATGCCCACACACACACACCCACACGTGTACACCCGCACACACACACACACACACACGCACACACAACACACACAACACACACATGCCCACACACACACACATGCCCACACACACACACAGACACACGCACACACACACACATATGCCCACACACACACACACATGCTTACACATGCCCCCGCACACACACACACACACACACCACACACACACACACAGAGAGAGAGAGAGAGAGGCACTACACAACTTCCTTCGCCACGAACGTTGTCGATGCTTGGATGGCAGGATGCAGGTCGTGGCTTGTCTGCATCGACTTCTCTAAAGGTAACCATTGCATATACTATACTTTTAAATATATATAATTGAACATTCAGGACCCCGGAACTTCGGTGCGAATGCTGTGAGACTGGTATCACGAAAGATCTTTTCCGACGGATTTCTATCGATGAAGAGGCTCGTGACTGCACTGCATGGATGACCTTTGTGTATGCTCAGTTCGAACTCATACACATGTTGCTTCTGTTCTTTTCAGGCGGAGGAGCTCCGTCTGCTTTTCGCTGAGCCCATTGATGATTTCTGGGAGGAGGCAGGTGTGTATTATCATGCCATACTTAGTATTTCGTTCGCTTAACCCGACAGGCTGGCTTACCAGAATTCGTCAATTGGCTGAAGGGCTCCAGCAGCCTGCGATTGCCAGCCAGTTGGCCGACAGATTGCTGCTGACCACTGGATCATATATATGGTGCCTGCTCTACGTGCAGCAGTGCTGCGCCATGCACTTTCGGATACTGGAACGGCTGCTATTCAAAGCCATTCTCTCGAGTTGCTATTCCTTACTTTGGCAACAAAGGCCCACGTATGATGGCACACATTCGATCATGGGGCTCTCTTCGATGACATCGTGTCGATCGATATTATATCTGGTGTCCTGGCCTATCAAATTCATAGTCTTGTCCTTATGCGCATGTGCCATGTATGGCTGCCTCCTGCCTGTGCCGAGGCTTATCAACGGTTCATCATGTTCGCTGCATGCTCGCACTTAAAGGGATCCCGGGATCACTGCATGGCGAATTTAAACCATGAGGTGTGCATGTTGCTGACCTCAGGAATCATGCTATGGGTGGATTAAATGCACACATATTCGTGTATGTTCCTTGGCTTACTTAAGTCTGGGATTCAAGGTTCTCGACCATGTCCGTGAATTCAACATGTTATAATGAGCCTGCTGTCGAAACGCAGGCCTCTGCTACATCATGGGCTGTGGGCTGCGCAGCACGTCTTCTGCTTGTGCTGCACCACAGGGCAAAAGTAGATCCGGCGGTTGTCCCGTAGCTTTACGCTTCTGTGCTGCATGCTTTCATTTCGCACGCATGCATGTTCTTGCATCACACATACATGTTCGTGCTGATACACATGCTGTCTCAGATTGCATGATGCCACGTGAAAGTATCCCGTGCCAGAAATCCAGGCGACAGAATGCTATGTGTGCTGCTCGGAAGCAACGGTACCTGTTCATTGAACACAAACAAGTGCAAACAGGCAGCAACAAAACAACAACATAACAAAAACATGCAAACACACAACAACAAAACAACGACAAACCATCACTGAGCAAAAAAAATGTTTATAGAATCACTTGTTGATGACGGGCAAAACCACCTGTCAACAGGCGTCAAAAAGCGTCAAAACGCGTCAAAAAGCGTCAATTTGCGTCAACTCGACTCAACTCACAACTTGCAACAATACAACAACAACACACCATCAACACACCATCACTGAGCAAAAAAAATTATAGAATCACTTGTTGATGCCCGGCAACAGCACCTGTCAACAGGCGGGAAAAAGCGTCAATACGCGTCAATTTGCGTCAACTCGAGTCAACTCACAACATGTGATATCCAACGCACCAAGAACAAAACATGTACATTGACAACGCACCAAGAACAACACATGTACATTGACACATGTTAACATTGACAAATGCTACTTCGTTTTTTTTTTTCGGGTAGCTGTTTCTGTGTGTTTCTGTGTACAAAACAACAAGCGAAACCACTGCGACTTAGTTATACTGGGTGATCTGAAACTAGAAAAGTGTCTGATGTCGATGCACAATGTGTTCCGATTCATCCTGTTCGTGATGAATCATACCATAAAACACCAGGTTTCTGCTATGTTTCTGAACAATTGCAACCGACGACTCGGGCTAGTGTGAGCTGTGGGAATACACTCCCATGGGTACGCCATGTCTCGTGTACGTGTTGAACGATTAAGACCAGTGATTCTGGTATGAAAACAAGCACCAACGACTGGTGTGAAACTTGTCTTGTATGTGGGTCGGAATCCGTGACGCTTCTAGCATGGTAGGTGCCTCCCATGCATCCCATGCATCTGGACGTGCAAACCCAGTGACTGTGGTACGAGTTCATGGCACATGCTACTTTTGTGTATATATATATATATATGGTACATGGATATGTTCCATGTTGCACGCACACCACACGAGAGACTGTCACGTACGTGGGCTGGTGCATGCACAACACGGGGAGAGTGAGGTATGGGTTAATTGGGTGGGCGGGGTTGGCTGGGGGGTCGGGGTGGGCGCGGGGCGGGGGGGGGGGGGGGGGGGGGGGGGGGGCGGGGGGGGGGAAGCGCCCTTAACTAGCATCCTCTTTCGGCCGGGGGGGGGCGGGGCGTGGCGTGGAGGGCGCTTGTGGGTGGTGGGGGGGAATGTGTGTGGGTGGGGGGCTCAGGCTCAGGGGAGAGGGTCGGGTGCATGGGGGGTGCATGCATTCATGGTCTGCATGTCTGCAAGGTCGTGTCTGCAAGGTTGCGGTTGTGCATGCCATGAAATGAAGTGCTGGTGCGCAGGGAACCTGGCCCGAGCTGCATTCCGTGACTCGTAGTGTCTCCTGCATGGGGAAGAAGGGCGGAACGAAAAAGCCGGAGCCGTCCGTGGAAGAAGGCAAAAAACTGGTGGCGTCGTGGGATCAGAGCATCATGCAGAGCCTTAAGCTTACCCCGGAGCAGCGAGCAAATGTTGATGCCAAGTTGTATCTCCGATCAAATGTATGGGCGTTCTTTGTGTTTGCCGTGTTTTCTCTTAATTGGGAGATGACTGATCATCCGAGGCAAGCGCTGAGACCACCGCCTGTGCAGCCACGTTCTGTGGCTGGACAAGGCATAGGGCCGAAATGGGGATTGGTGACCAGTGAGGGGTTACACGCTCTTTTTGGGAACGGTGGTTTGAGCTCAGGCAGCGAGGCTTCGGCACCAGCTGTGCCTGCACCCCCGACAAAAGCACCTGAGCTGCCGACGCCGCCGGCAGAGCCTGCGTCGCCGGTGCCGCTGGTGCCGCCCGTGCCACCTCCGGCAGTGCCATCTCCGACCGCACCTCTGGCAGTGCCATCTCCAGCCGGACATCCTGTGCCGCCTGTGTCAATGCCATCTCCAGCCGGAGATCCTGTGCCGCCTGCAGTACCACAGCCATCTCCAACCGGATATCTTGTGCCGCCTGTACCAGTGCCATCTCCAGCCGGAGATCCTGTGCCGCCTGCGTCAGTGCCATCTCCAGCCGGAGATCTCATGCCAGCTGCTGGGCCGCCCGTGGTAGCTGCAGACCCGCAAGCCCTGGATCAATCTAGTATGGCACTCCTCGCCCAGCTTATGACGGCTTTGAGGACACGTGGTGGGCTTCCGCCTTCTCTGGATGCGGCCGTGAACCCGGCACCTCCGCCGGTGCCATCTGTGCCAGCTTTGCCCCCGTGTTCCACAACTTTGACTGTGCCTGTGGCCCCGCCACCGCCGTCTGCAAATGGGCCCGGTACGCTCGCTTCGCAACCGATGGCCGTGCCGTCTCTTCCTACAGGGACACCTGTCCCACCGCCTGTGCCACCAAGTCCTGCTGCTCTACAGCAGCCCCGCTCGGATGATGATCATGATGGGCTTCTGCCTTCTCCGGATGCAGTGCCAACTGTGCCGGCCTTGCCCCCGTGTTCCACAAACCTGACTGTGCCAAGTGGGGCACCCCCACCGCCGCTAGCTGCAAATGGGCCCGGTACGCTCGCTTCGCAACCGATGGCCATGCCAGCACAGCCGTCTCTTCATGCAGGGGCACCTGCCCCATCGCTTGTGCCGCCTAGCCCTGCTGCTCTAGAGGTGCAGGATACTCAGATAGATGGAGCTACTTCGCCTCCTCGCAAGAAGGCCCGCTCGGACGATGCTCGTGTGCCTGACCGGCAATTGACATCCGTCTCTATCTCTGGGGCCTCCGGCTCGCTGGAGGATGTTTCAAAGCTGCACGAGGACTGACAGCTGAGTGAGTGAGTGAGTTGATTGGGTGGTTGGTAGGTTTGGTTGCTTGGTTGCTTGGTTGGTTGGTCATATATAAGGTAGACGTGAAGATAACCACAACCCTGCATCAGGACCTGAGTCCGGCGGGCTGCAGCGCTGCTTCTCTGAATCGACTGGATAGCTCTGCATCGATCCAGTCGGCACAGTCAATATCCACGGGGGCTCCATCGAGACAGGGTTCGGTGACCTGGGCTTCGGCAACCGTGCTGCAGCAAGCGACACGTGCCGCCGAAGACATGAACCCACGGCCTGGAATACTTCGCAAAACACAGCTGGGTTCTGGCAGCATGGAGAGCCTCAGCAGTCAGGAGAACCTGGGATCGCCTGACCATGCGAGTGGCAGCAAACGATCAGTGGTGCCTTGTTTGATATATTTCCTTTGAACATACTGCATGATTCCGAAGGGTCGATTTATAATGGAGCTGGGTGCATGTGACATTTGTGTGCTGAGCTTACCCAGGAACTCGATGATGCACAGCTTCCTGTGGAGAAGCATGCCAAGACCAATGGCCCCGCTGGAGCCGACGTCGTGCGGCTCTTGGGTGAGTTGCCGGATAGTCCAACCAAGACGGCGCTGCTGGCAATTCTCGCAACGCCCCCGACTGCAGTGCCGGCCATTGTGCCCCCTGCAGCAATGCCATCTCCAGCCGGAGATCCTGCTGCCGTGCCGCCTCAGGGTGTGATCCCAACAGTGCCATCTCCAGCCGGAGATCCTGCTCGTGCTGTGCCGCCTCAGGGTGTGATCCCAGCAATGCCATCTCCACCCGGAGATCCTGCTGCCGTGCCGCCTCAGGGTGTGATCCCAGCCGAAGATTGTGTTGGTGCTGTGCCGCCTCAGGGTGTGATCCCAGCAATGCCATCTCCACCCGGAGATCCCGCTGCTGTGCCGCCTGAGGGTGTGATCCCCTCATTGCCATCTCCAGCCAGAGATCCCGTGCCATCGAATGCTGCACCTCCTCCGGCCGGTAGCATTGCTGCCGTACTGACGAGTTTGTCAGCTGTGCCTTCCCAAGCGACAGCTCCTGTGCTTCCAGCTCCGCCGACGCTTCCGCAAGCACCCTCTGCAGTGCAGGATCAGGCACTGGTGCCAAGCCGCGGTGGCGGCGGATGGCTTTGCAACTCAAAGACGCACGCGGCGGAATGGAAGTCGTATGGCAGATGGGTCGCGCGGAACCCGGATGCCACGCAGCTCAGTGCTGCCTACAACAAGGGTGCCGATGCTCGTCTTGCAGCATTTCAAAAATGGGTGCACTCGGGGGGGAACGGAAAGGCTGTGGAAGCTTGTATGCGTATGGTGCGGTCTTCTGAAGAGCTGCACAGGGACAGTGGACGATATGTCCCCTGGACGGCGGTCTTGCAGCACTTCCGCAATGATGCCACACAGGCAATGGACTTCGCTGCGAGGCGCAGGGGTGAGGAGAAGGGTGTTTCCAAGTGCCGGAACACGGGGCAAGAAACCTTTTTGCTCTTCAATGATGAGACCAGAGAGTGGACGGATCGCAAGCTCGAAGCTTGATCCGATCAGATTGGGAAGGAAGTCTTGAGTGTTTATGTTTATATAATCAGCCGTTCTGATCCTCGGCCCTTGATCCTGCCCAGGACGAGGTCGCGATTGAAGTCGGTGCCGATCTAGAAGCCGCGACTCAGCTTGCTCACCTTATCAGCTCGTCGCCGCAGCTCTTCCGAAGGGGTCATGATGACATGCCACGCGACAACGAGCCCGTGGATGATGGGGAGGCGCCCGCAACGGGCAAGGCTGAAGGCGACAAGGGCAACACTAAGAACCCCAAGCCCAAAGGCAAGGCCAAGCCGAAGGCGAAAGCGAAGGCTGGGTCATCATGTTTTGCGTGGGCATTATCCTAGGCCTGTGCTTAATACACTTGCGTGCAGGCCGACAAGCAGATCCATGTGGAGCTCCCGGCATTGGGGTCGGATATTGCCGGGATTGCGCAATTCAAGGAGTCGTGGACACGTTCTATTTCGGACGCCCAGGGACATGCGACGACCATGGTGTGCGAGTTCCTTGGTATCAGGTGATTCAATATTAACAACCACATGCATTGGGTTGAAGGGTTTGAACAAGTGACCATGCATGTGATTTGCTGTGAATTAACTGAGGCTGGAGAATTTCGAATCCCAAGAGCGGTTGTGCGAGCTGATCAACCAGTCGAAGGAAGGAATGTCCACTGCGAGAAAGGACCATCCCGGGCTAGCCAGGTTCACCGAAACATGGGCCGGCTAAGTATGCATTAAGTTAACAAAGACTCAGCTGAACCAGGACATGATGGCCGTGGACATTGGCGACCCGATGTGCCGCGACAAAATGGGTCAAATTTTGGAGGCGGCCAAGCCCTTCATACAGGCTTACATGAAGCACACCCGCACTGGCAACAATCTGAGTCTTGGCTGCAACTTTCCTGGTGCTGTGTACGCAGTTTCATGCCATGCATTTCGTTGTTGATTTTTTTGTGTGCCTCACGTGCGACAGATGCCAGGATTGCTGCTCAGAAGCGCGACGAGAACAAGAAAAAGGGGGGCAATAAGAACACCACAGAAGCTCCAAAGGAGCTTGAGATCGCGAACGGAGGTGCGGCTGTGTAAGCACACAGCTTTTGTGTGCCGGGTTCGGCCTTGGTATATGTGGGTGCGATGCATATGAGCACATGCAGGAACTTAAATAAGATCGAGTACTTTCAAAACATAGAAGATGTGCTTGATTTCAATCTGAATGTGTGCTCATTGCATCGGATGTGCCGAACACTGTGGCTGTCCGATGAGATATGGCCATGAGTGTTTTCTCCTTTCTATCGGCTCTGGGTCGAGTGTGCGGCCCCGGCATGCATGCCCCGTACGTGGGCCATGCCATGATTTCGAGAATCTCGTGAGGAGAGGAAACAAACAGCATGTGTCCGTGTGCATGTGACGCAGGTGCTTCGCATGATTGCGTTACGTATGAGCAGCTTGAGTATTCATGTGTCTATATCGATGTCGAGGCCCCAGCTGGAGGTGTTAACCTTTAGGCAATGACGCACCTCGCACATGTTCATCTTACTTAAAGCAACGTGATGCAACCGTCTGCATGCAGTGGGCTGTCTGAGAGAGTTTGAATTAAACAAGTTCGAATTAAGTTCAGATCTATAAATCTAATGATTGAAGGCTTAACTTGTTTGATGCTCGGCAACATGTGAACACACCTAGGTATAATATGTTGTGAACGAAGCAAAACTTTTCTGGGCTTGCCATGGCTTGCCTGTGTGGATTTGCATGATGTGACATATTCCAATGGCTGTGCTGCGCAGATGCAGTCCGGGCCGCGCTTGTTCGCAACATGCTCCGTCGGGCAAAGCTGCTTTTTGAAGCATCGCGGCGAACGTTGCCGGATGACCGTGATGCTGGGATCCCGCAACAACCTGCGGCACCTGCGGATGTGCAGGGAACTGGGAGAGGCTTCAAGCGAAGCCTGAGCCTCAAAGGCTCGCCGCTCATGAGACTCGCGGCAAAACAGGTTGGCCGGGGGGCTTCAGCCTCCACCTTTGGTGACTTGGCCCGAGCGGCCTGCTCAGAAGCCGGGGCCACGAATGTTTCTCGCGGTGGCTGGGCTATGCATGTTGTTTGCGACACAGATGTGACATTTCATGATGCATACATTCCATTTAATTGAAAACATAAGCCCTTATCCAAGGCACACGCTTTGCTGCACAACTGGCGGCGGGCACGAACAAACATAATGCCGAGCGAGATATCATGGCTGCTCTGAGCCGCAGCCATGGTGTGCCTCGTCAGTGCAACTGTGATGCATGTATGTTGCTCATGCCGGTCATTTTTGCTCATTTGCAAGGTTCCGCTGCACTGCAAACTATCTTATGTGGTGATTCCTATTGTGGAGATCCGACAAGTCAAGCGCTTGGCTGCAACTGCCAGAGGTGTCGCGCCCAAGGGCCGCGGCAGGGGACGTGGACGTGTACGTGTGCGAGGTGGAAACATGAATTTCTTGAAAAAGAAAGGACTGGCCGAGAAGGAATCGTGTACAAGAAGTGGCCAGTCTTCTTGCCGTCCAACTTTGCACGTGGTTTGGCAGCGGCGGGTGCTGATCAATGGATGATGCTTGTTTGCGATATCGTGTACTCGTGATATTTGTTGCGATCTAGATGCTGAGCTTTTCACATGCTATATTCGAGCTGAGGGGCCTGGACTGTGACTGGTCCTCGTTCTGGGATTCCGTGGCCCAGTCTGAGACGTGGGGTGCGACGCTTGGCATGCATAGTTTGTGTATGTAGTCTGTCCTGCAGAACTGCCTCGTGCAATTGCTGGATCCGCGAGGACACACCCCGTGAACACCGGTTTCGATGCAGCTGCCAGAAAATCTGCGATCCCCATCCTGCTGCATGGGGATGAAGGCCAAACAAAGAAGGACAGAAGCCTGCTCATTCTCAACTGGCATGTCCTGGGAGTGCAGTCGAAATCAGTCCTATTCCGGAAGTTCCCGATAGCAGCGCCTTTGCTGCAAGTTGTGCATGCAAGGTTTGTGTGGAAAGACATGAACATGACACGCTGTAACTTCCCATATATCTGAGATCATCCGGTCGGCCAACCTGGCTTATTCGTCTTCTGGGAAATGCTTAACTATGGAGGCCCTCCAGAAGGCGGTCGTGCAATCTTTATCCGTTGCTGCAGACCCGGCTACTGCTGCAATTCGCGGCGCTGCCACTCTACAATACTGTTGTGGAAAGGGTGACTGGAAGTTCAAAAAGGAATGGTTATGTGAGAAGAAAGACTACTCGCATACGAACTTCTGCAGAAGATGCGATTGCGGGTCGGGCCCAGCTGAGCACTGGTTGGACTTCTTGCATCTCAGCTTTAGCAAGCCGGATTCGGTTTCTCAGCACCTTCACGCGAATGTGCCTGATCACCTTCCGTTTCCTGGCAAGAAGTTTAGTACAGTTTTTTGGACCAATGGGATAGTGTTTAAACATAAACAGGCATATGCACTGTGTTCTGATTGCACACTTTAACAAAACTTTCACATCGATTGTGGACTAATTGTCGCGATCCCATGAGTATCACAGAAATCGCGAGCCAGTGTCAAAACCTGTGAGGTTCCGAAGCTTGGCTGGCTGGGATATGGACATGGAGGCTGCGGACCTGCTGCATGTATTGTGGCTTGGAGCCGCGCGAGATTCCATCGGCAGTGTCCTTATGGAAATTGTTGATTGGGACCCTCGCTTTCAGCAGTCTGGCTCATACGATGTGGCACTGGCACAGGTTTTGACACTGGTGCACGATTTCTGTGATACTCATGGGATCGACAAGTCCACAATCGATGAGCTCAGCTTCTCGATGCAATTTGGAAATGGTTCCGTTTAAACATGTAAGTCGAGTTGTTCTCAACAGCTGCAGAACACAAAACAAATCGTGTTTGGGCCATACTAATCCAGAACTTCGCCGACAATTTGAACCCGGCGGCCGTGCTCTTTACCCATAGGCCCCATCTAGGATTACCTTAAGTTAAATAGTAAGTCATTGTTGCTTTCAGTGTTGCTCGTGGCTTCAAACCAAGGCTTGACCAAGTTGCATGTCGACTCTGTGCAGTATGACTTCCCGCTTGGTCTGTCCAAAGCCTTTGCCAATAAAGTCTTGTGCTCTTGGGCCGCCGACTTTTTGGCAGATTCCTGGCTTTTGTCGTAAGCAACTATGATAACGGCTTTTCTATATTTTGAGTTTTAATTAAGATTCGGTCGTATATTAAAGCAGTGGCCCCAGGACACCATGGTGCCTCAGCTGCAGCGACCGGCCGTGATGATGTGGTCGCTGATGAAGTTCAACAGCCTTTTGGAGCAAAGCGGCCTTTTCTTCGATGATGCTACTGCAATGCGTGTCTACAATCATGGGCTGCTCTACTGCCAGCTTCATGTGCTCGCTGGCTACGATGCATTGCTGGAGCGACGACCGAGATGGAAGGTAAGGCCTCGTCTGCACAGTCTGGTGTGCGAAATTTTATTGAAGGTATCAAATGGCTCGCGGCTGAACCCCAAGTTCCTGGCTTGCTGGTCGGATGAGGACTATATTGGCCAGAGCTGTGCCATTGGAAAGTCTCGATCTGTGCATCCGAGCACTCTGGGCTTAAGAATGCTGCAAAGGCTGGTGTTGACTTTGAACGCAGAGCTGGCAAGTTAGGCGAGACACTGGCAGAGGAAAGCTTCTTCAACGGCAGAAGCAGGAGTTGAAGGCTCTTGGAGCAGAACTGCCAGCTGGAAGCCGGCAAGCTTGCACGTACGTGAGTGTGTGAGCAAAAGGATGCGAGCGCCAAACCCTGAAACCCCGCCCTAAACCCTCGAAGCCCCTGAACAACCACAACCCTAAACCACCAATCCCAATGGACGTGGAAACCGTGCCTGCGTGAGCGAGTGTGCGAGTGTCAACCACCAATCCCAAAACTGAACGACGAGACCCCAGAGGCGCCCGAGCCGGAACCCTAATATAAGGACGTTCCGGGATTTCGGCAGGGCGCGGAAGGGATTTCTCTTTCAATCATTCGATCAATCACTCCTCAAGTTTTCCTTCTTCTTATCTTCTTCGAATCTTCAAATAGTCTTGTCGCATCTTTCTTTCCTTTTCACATACATACATATCTCAATTTTTCCTTCTTCTTATCTTCTTCGAATCTTCAAATAGTCTTGTCGCTTAATTTCCTATCCACATATAATCATTTATATATATATATATATACATATATACATAGTTGTATGTATATGTACTTATGTATGTATGTATGTATGTATGTCCATGCAGACGTATAACCCTAAAGACCCTAAACCTCCATAATTCGGCTCAAAGTTTAAGCTTCAGCTCAAGGCACATGCCTTTTTTTGGGCACAGTTTGGCTCAAGGGTTTCACCCGCAAAGGCGTTTCACCCAACCGGGACAATACCTTGACCCCGTGCTGCTAGATTGCGATCATGTACATCTGTTGGGACATGCAAGGCAGTATTATTGGATTTTTGCCTGGGATTCGGCTCAAATAAGCTTCGGCTCAAGGCACATGCCTTTTTTTTTGCAGAGTTTGGCTCAAGGGTTTCACCCGCAAGTGCGTTTCACCCATGGGGGACAATACCTTGACCCCATCTCGTGCTGCTAGATTGCGATCATGTACATCTGTTGGGACATGCAAGGCAGTATTATTGGACTTTTGCCTGGGTTTGGGTTACATCATGTGGATGAGAACGAATGTTTATGCTGTCATGTTGGGTCTGCAGGCTGTGCGGGCGGGCCCCTGTGGGGGGCCATGCGGGGCCGCGAGGGCCCATATGGGGGCCCGACGTGGCCATGTACAAAAAAGTGTCGCAAACCATCTCATGAACAAAAAAATTTGTACGCGATGCGCAAATTTTTTGGACACCGAGCCTCCAGGCAGGGAAGTCGTCCATTTCATGGCCACGTAGCAGCTTGGTGAGGAACTTCAGGTCACCGTGTTTGAAAGTCACGTGCCTGTCTCCCACAATGTCCTCCGGATTGAAGGGCTTCATCAAGTGCTTCTTACCGTTGTAGAAGTACTCATTCGGAAGCTCTGGCATAGCGGCAGCCCCTTGCGGGGCGCTTTCATCGATGAACATGAGCCTTCGCATGGCATCCTCGTCGCGGTCAGACTTCTTAGTCTTCTTGGGTGCCGCGGGCTCAATGACACGTCCAATCGATGATGGGATGGGGTCGACTTGTTCGCCCTCATCCACCAGCTCCACCGTGCCCGGGGTATTGTAGGATACCTTACCGTCTGCGTCCTGGGTGACAATGTCATTGATGCACTCCGCAACAGCACTAACATCAGTGGTTGCACCGATCCTTGGCACATCCTTGCGGATGGCTTTATCCATGGGTAGTTTTTTGGAGATCTTGGTGACGTCGGTTGCGTCAGCGGCATCTGGGGCTTCCCACATCTTGTCCTCCTGGGTGACTTGCATTGGCTTTGCCTGTTTCGGGTTCATGAGCTGGTCCTTCTCCGCACGCCACTGCTGGAAGACATCCTCGAGCACCGGATTGTTGGCACCGGAGCCAGTCTCAAAGTGCTCATAGCGAACAAGCAAAGCCCTGACACAGGGTGTCATCTTCTGGGCAAGCCATTCGCTCCTGCTTGCATTGAAAGTGGCATGCAAGTAGGTCTGGAATAACTCGCGGTTGCGACGGTCTTCACGGGCGTGAAAGCTGTCATACATTTCCAGCTTTTCGACCAAGGAGCTCGTGGTTTGCACTTGCAGACCGTGCTGTCTGAACTCCTCGAACATTGCGGCATTGAAGTCGTTGTATGCTGAGTGGAGTTGGAACAAGTCCGCCTCCACCTGCCCAATCACCTTCACAAAACCAATGTCCGGCTCGCCCGCGAGGGCGGCTAAAACATCTGCTGCCCTTCTCACTTTCCGGGCGACGGTCTCCGTTGTGACATTGGGATCTCTGTAGGCGAGTCCCGGTCCAAGCCGCGTGGGGATGCAGCCCCACTGGCCGGAGATCTCGTTCCCGCACCACCAGCAGATCACGTCGATGGTGTGGTCCGGATAGTTGGTCCGAAGCTCTTTCACATGCTCCTCGACCTGCCAGACAATCCACGCCAAGGTTTTGCCCCAACACATGGTGTAGCGAGTCTGTGCCCATCCCAGCGTCATGCTTGCGATGTTCACTTCCGCATCCAAGTCGGCCTTGACGAACACTCCCCGTCTGTTCTTCTTGCAAAGTGCGGTGGAGCTGTCTGACACGACAATGATGGCTCGCTTGGCCTTGGGGCTCAACCTTGCGGTTGGCTTCAACTTGGCGAGTCCCTCGTCACTGAGGTCAGCCATCTGGCGCAGAGCCACACAGGTTGCGTCGGCATGGGTCAAAGATAGCCCAGCCGCGCATTGTGTGGATACGCAGCTGTACGCCGACTCCAAGAGCTGGCTCTCATGATCGGCGCCTAGCGAAATGATATCGTTGTTGAGGGCGGCGGATTGGAGAATGGTTTTCATGGCCTTGGTAACTCCAGCCCTGTCTGCTTCGGAGGTGTTGACCCTCCAGAACTCGTCGCTCACAACGATGGCTGCCATCCTGGGGATCGTAGAAGTCGCTTCGGGCAAGTCAGGAAGATCAGAACCAGCTGAAATTGCAATGGCAGGCGTGCACATAAAGGAAGCCAAGATTTCATGGTCAAGGCTTGCAGTTTGTTGTGTGTTTGTGCACTCGAGCGATGTGTGTGCAAACGAATCATTTTCGAAACGAGAACACGGTTTGTTAAGCCTACCCCCCTCATCGAGAGGGGAACCAACACACCTCAAACAAACCATTGCCTTCTGAGCTGGGAGCTTCAACTGAGCCGTAGGCAAGAGGAACTGTGATTGATGTAGGAATTGCTTTTGCTTTTTGTTGAACTTCTGGTACCCCCCTGAAGAGTAGGCGATGAAGGAATGTCGTTCGCCAGTGTAGGGTTGTACACCATGTTTTGTTGAAGGATGCAACAGAGTAGGCTTGCGGTATGTATTGCAATTGTAGCCTTTGTGGTCTTTGCCATGATCATCTGTGTATATTCCCGGTGGTCCCAACTGGCTCGCGCCCTCAATCCACAGTGTCCCCCCTGTATAGTTACCGAAGGAGAACGTCAGGTTGTACGATTCTTTCTGATTGTACTTATCCGTGTGGATGCGGGCCTTGCCATTGAAGTTGAACACGAACGAAGTCCATGTAAACCCTTTCGGAGATGATCGCTTAACAAATTCATTCACATACCTGCAAATCCATGGGTAATGTTTTGTGCGGTTGGTAATACCAAAGCACCCACCATGGACCCAAGCGCCGAATACCAAGTATTTGGATATCTTCTCAGAAGCCATAAACGATCGCGGTTTTGCCAATGATGCCTTGAGATTGGTACGAATAAGCCCAGCTAGCTTCTCGAAGGTCTTGAAGCTGTAATCGTTAGCCTCGAACGATTGTTTAGCAAAGTCCTCGACAACCTTTGATGCATCCGGAGCTGCTGCTACCGAAACCTTGTTGTCGACCTCGACCTTCGACTCGGGTTTGCACCCGGCTACGTTCGCGCTGGTTGTATGTCCAATAAGCTTCAAGGCATGCGTCCACTTGTTCTTTTCAGTGAAAGGCTTCGTGAATACATCCGCCACTTGTTCGGCTGTACCAACATTCAGTAGCTTGAAATGCCCAACCTCATATTGCTGCTTTAGCCATGAGAAACTCACCCTCTGTGTCCGATCAGTATGTCGTAGAACACCAGCTTGCCCTAGCAACAAAAGAGTGATAGTCGCCTGGTTATCCTCCATATGTCTAACCTCGAAACTTTCAGGAAGTTGGACACAGAGGCCGTTGATGTCTGCGATTGACAACCCATCCGGTCTAGTGGACCCATAACGAATTTCGTCAAGTTCAGGATCAATGCGTGCAATTATCGAATCTACCCTCTCAGCCCTTGGCTCGGCCTTGCGGCCGGCATCTCCACGCCATAGGAAATACCACAAGCTCAGGCAAGGTAGACCTTCGGCACGTAAACCGTGGTTCGCTGCTACAACTTCGGACTCAGTAGAGCTCATTGTGATAGATGTTTGTTTCTTGCTGAAGGCATTGAGGGGAAAGTACGTGTTTGGTCCGACCAAAAACATCGCACATCCTGTAGTCGATTTTGAATCGATTTCGCCCGCAAAGTCGGAATCGCTGAACAACCAAAGTCTGCAATCCATTATGCTGTCACCTATGAAACCGCTCATAGTGACATCAAGCGAAGAGTTTATGTAGCAAACCAACCTGTGAAGTCCCAAGTCGCAATCTGGACTCCATTTGGTCACCCTCGACGCCAAAGACTGCGTTGCCCTTAGAAGATCCCATCTGGCCATGCGAGCAGCGAACAAAATCTTCATTAATACCTTACTAGCAATAGGTTGCAAGCGCCCTGCCTTCTCTCCTTCGGAAGCTGTTGGCAAAGCCACACGTAGCTCATGGAAGGGGGTTGCAGCTGGTTTCAGGGTCTTACGCTCTACCTTAGCAAGCTCCCAGTACCGATCAACGCAAGAGTCGAGGAAGTCCTTCATGTCGTACGTGATGCGAGTGACTGGCTTGGTCATTGCACCGGGCTTCTCTTTAACGTCTTGCGACAAGGTAACAAACTTGCTCTGCTTCGCCTCCTTTTTAGCCTCAGACTTGTTACGAACCGGCTTGCCCTTGCGGGCAGCTGCAACTGCCAGCTCGAAATCAGACTGCTCCCGGCCTGCGAGGTCGAAGTAGGTTTCGCCGTCCCACCAATCCTGAAGACAGCGATCGCGCATTTGATTGCAACTGTCAACAACAACTTCCTCCGACTCACCCTTGCGGGTGGCTTTAGCCACCACGGTGTATCGCCGAGGGCCAATCCCCGGGAACATTCTAGCATCATCCTCATTGGGGACATATAGTCTTTTGCGAGGATAGCGGTGATGTCGGATTGCTATGAGATTCTCAGGGTCAATGTCCCAATAATCTTCTTTTCTAGCAGGAGTTGCAGCTGATGATTCGGGCTCAAACACGTGACGAAAAGGGTGTGCTTCCTTGGGCAGCTTGAGGTTGTGTTCTTCCTTGTGCATACACCCAAAGTATCTACCAATGACTTCCGGAAGATCCATATCAATGACGCTCGAGATCAAGTCCCATCCCTCCTTGATAGAGTTCTTAGGGCCAGCGAGCTTAATGTCATCGACGTAAACCACTAAAAGCAGCTTCTTCTTCGGGTGATAGAATACACTCTTCCAAATGTCAGTCAATACTGCCTCGAACCCGACTTTCTTCAACTCAGCTTCGCAGTGATGTTCCCAAATCCCCCCTGAATCGGGGTGTCCGTAAAGTGCCAATTTGAGTGGAACGACAGGATCTTTCATGCCCTGCCATGCCTTAGGCCAGCGGTTGCGAGGCAATCGTACCCAAGTGGCAACTCCTTGGAACAAGGCTTGGGTGTATGCTTGCTTGGCGTCGGCCTGCTGGATGACATAACCAGGTTGGGAGCCGAAGACGTCTAGAATCTTTCCTGCTTCCATAGATGCAGGACTGCTCGACATCTCCGCGAAGAGCGCGTGATCGGCGTTTTCATCAAGTACTTTGTTTCCCTGAAATACCGAACGTCCCTTATACTTACGATTAGGGTCACCTTCTTTCAGCTCGGCTCCCTTTAGGGTACCAATCTCAAAAACATTGCCAAAGTGAACCTTGGTTTGAGACTTCTTAGCTTCGTTGGCAACCGACTCGAACTCCCTGACTTTGCCTTGTACCCAGCAGCCCTTGTCAACCAATTTCTGCCATTCCTTGTCCATGGCAGCCTGCGCCTTAGGGTTTGATGAAATCTCCTTAGACGACAGGACCTTGGCGACAACAGCATACATCTCATCTGCGATCTGAAAAAGCTTCTTGTCATATAGCCCTTTAAGTCGTTCCCGATGTTCCTCGCTACACCCATGTAGGACTGGCATTGCAGGTACCACCTTTATAGCTTCACGGTACAGTGCCTCATTCTCCTCATGTAGCTTCTTCTCATGTTCTGCAATTGCTGTTGCTCTTTGTCTTTTCGACATAGACTTCCATGCAGTATGATCAATAGCGTCGGGGCGGTTCTTGTTGTTCTTTTTGACCAAACATTCCCCACTCCACGCATAACCATACGGTGGTTCTTGCGCTGCTACTGCTGCGCTGGACTTCAGCTTCTGCTTCACAGAGAACGGAACATCATCAAGCAATGCTGCACGGGAATCAGACTTTGACTCACCCTTGCGGGTGGCTTCTTTCGCGTCCTTCGGCGGAGGATCTTTATCACGATCAGGACCAAATAGCTCTGGGAACATTTCATCCAGGTCTTCACTAAGCTGTTCCTGAATTGTGGCTTCATCGTATCCCCCCCTTCCTCCAGAGGAGGATGCGGGTTTTGCTCATCAAGGACATTGTGATGTTGTGCATCAAGGCTTGGTGGTTTATCCAAGGCAGGCTCTTGCAACAAAGGAAACTTAAAGTCACCATCGGGTAGCTGCAGTCTCTTAGTTCGAAACACACGTAGGTCTTCGTTTTCCAACGCGGCATCGATGTTGTGTAGGGGAGCAACAACGTACTCAAGCTTGAAGATAAAACCAGGTTGGATGTGATACCCAAGGAATATACCTTCAATCCCTGTGCCAGAAAACTTGGATCGTTCAGGCTTGCGTTGCTTCTTCGGGGCCCAATAGAGGATTTTCGCTCCAAAGGGAATGCGCATGCCGTTGAACTTTTCACCGTACCTGATTTCCCACGGAATCTGACCATTGTCAATCCTCGCAGTGATGTTAAGGCACATAGCATGATGTTGCGATGCAAGAGGCCAGTAGCGATCTGGAAGTCCTGATTGCACTAAATTGGCCCGTGTGCCTTCCAAAATAGTTCTGATTTCTCGCTCGATTACGGCCTTGTTTTCGTTCACATACTCCCTAGAAGTGTTGTGACGAGCGCGAAGCTGTCTGGCCGCAAAGTCAAACTCCAACGCATTGTCGGAATATATGACCTTTACCTCATCATCTGTGCCAAGGAAGTGCAACATGTCTTCATAGCACTGCTCACCAGACTTTGTCTTGGAAGGGTACACGTATCTAAACTTAGAATACACGTCCTTCACAACATGAGCCACGGTTTCATCTTGGAACCCGTAATCCTTGGCGTCAGCGGTCACGATGTGATCTACTGTGATGTGGTCACCGAACGATTTACTGTAGATTGTAGAGGATCCACCAGATTTCCGCGCCTGGGGCGCATACATCTTGGCTCTTTGGCAAATCGGGCAGAACGGGTTCTTTGGTCTATGGGTAAGTCGATGTTCCAAAGACACAGCCTCAGCCCTCAAGGAAGCTTCGTCCTTCTTAGACTTTGGCATAGTGTATGGCTCGACATCGCTGTCGGCTTGCGCCTCAACTTCCCCTTCAGGCAAAGCAAACAATGTGATAGTCGCAATAGTCCCTTCAGGTACTTCCCCATAGATACCGTCCAATTCGTCAATGTTGACTGAATCCTCCAACAAAGACCACACGTCATCCTTGAATCCCCAAGTAGTCCGGATTCTATACCTCGGGAACTTAGGAGCCGGTGTTCGAAGCGTCTTTGGGAAATGTGCCACCTTAGCAGCGGGGCTGCCGTTGATGACCGTCCAACCTGCCTTTAGCAGTTGACTCGTTTCCACCCCAGGAATGGGAGGAATGCAATTCGCCATCTTTTCGATGGGATCTTCTGCCGCGCCAGCTGGACCTTCAGGTTCATGTTCGTGCTCTCCCCTAGCTGGTGCGGCATGCCCTTGCGGGCAGCTGTTTACCGAAAACCCGAACCAGACTTGACAGAGGTCGGTGCAACCTTGCTGCCATCAGATTCTGAGGACTTTGCCGCTAAGCATGCCATCAATGGTCCTCGGTCGCCAAATACGGGAACATTACCTCGGAGTTGGCAAATCATCTTCTGACCGTCTGGGCAAATGAAATATGGCGCCTCACCCGCTGGCCAGTGGAAAGAGAACCCCTGTTCCATGCACTTCTTTCCTACAGAGCAAACTGCAGGTGTGTTGGGGAGCTCAACGAACTGCAATGGGTTCCTCAATGACTCAATGTAGACCTCATGCTTGGTATCAGCGTCTACTGGTCCGTTAGCAGTGATCAAACTCACTGGGTTGGAAGCAACCTTCTTAGCCTTGCCCTTGAAATGGGCCTCCAAATCAGAGTGACTAATCAGATCTTCCTCGCTACCGGTGTCTGCGATGATTTCGAGGTTCTCACCTGTCACCGCCGCTGCAGCAAGTTGGGGCAGGGGAATTGCTTCTTTGCAGTGCGTGCAGAATCCTTCTCTACCCCGACACCTGTAGTTGCACTTGACCCGAACCTTAAGCTTCATCCCGTTCACTGCTGATTCCAAGTGACGGGCATTCTGCAAAGCTTCTTCGGTGTCCTCTGGAATTGATGGTGGGCATAGCTCCGCAGACTTGTACCTGTGTTCATACTTGTGCTTGTCTGGGACGAAGCTCCAACCTTCACCTTCAGGCGGGATGTCAATGATTTCTGGCCTTAGGAACTGGACCTTTCTGCTTCGGGGCTTTCCGGCAGGGCCCTTGCGGGCTGCTACTGGCTTTCCCAGCATCGGCCGATGGCTCACCCGTGAGGGTGGCTGTGAGGGAGAGACAGCATGCGGCTGGCTTATCCTCACTCTTTGGCCTTTTCTTACTGGGTCGCCTGCGCTTGCCGGAGGGCGATCTCTTCCCGTCCTTGCCAGCCTTATCGCCTTTGGCCGGGACAGAGGGAGCGGCATCCTTGTGCATGAATGGGCAATTCTTACCGTTCTTGCAGGTGCCTTTGGGGAAGAAGATACAAGGAATCTTGGAGGTGTCCTTCTTCTCCCCACCTTTACCGCCTTTACCTCCGCCTTTTCTCGAAGGGGTACGTGGAGGTGTTCTGCCCCTTGTCTGTTCAGGAGTAGGCTTCACGTGCTTGTATGGGCACTTATCACCTCGTGGGCACTTCCCACGCTGGAAAGCGTAGCAGGGCTTGTCCTGGCTTCGGCCGCGAGGGGTGTTCTGGGTATCGGAAGGAGCAGGGGCACCAAATCTAGCGCCGTGAGCTTTGGCGATTGCTGTACGGTTTTTGCGTGTCCTATCTCTGGCCAACAGCTCTTTCACGCATTTGACCAAGTAGTCATAAGTGCGCTGCTCTGTTCCTTCCTTAGCCCTGTCGTAGACTTCCAGATCAAACTTGAGCTTGCTAGCATTGCGAAGCTGCCGAAGTAGAATATCTCTCAATGTAGTCTCCTCGGGTTGGTGGTTCAACCCCGCGATGACCGACTCCCAATTGTGAATGAAAGTGCTAAGGTCGTCACCGTTCAACTGCACCTTGAGAAGATCTTCCACAGAGTAGAGGGAACCTGCTTCTTCGTTGGTCTTAAAGTAGTGTTCGAACATCAGTAGAACCTGTCTACCACGAACAGCCCTACCTGCAGCTGCCTCAGACTCTTTGTAGTTAATGATCTGTCGTCCAAGATCACCTCTTGCGACCCTCGAAAGCGCCGAAAGGATCTTTGTGTCCAAAGTGAGGAATTTACCCGTGTCCCTCAACTTCTCCGGATCGGCGTCCCTGGAGTAAACCTCTTGCACCCATTTGAATGCCTCATCGGGTCTGTCCGATGCTGCCCGAACGGCCTCCCTAACCGTGATCTTCCAACTCCTGTAAGTCTCCGGGTTGGGGAAGTCGGGTAGCTTCACCGTTTCGGCTTCCTTAGCCTTGGGTTTGTCATCGTCAGGCTTCTGGATAACCGACTTGAGTGCTTCAGCGAGAAGTACACTAGGCTCTTTGTTTTCAGTAGCTTCTGCCGGTTCTTTGTTGTCACTCTGTTCAGCAGCAGATACCGCTACGCTGTGGGCCTTGGAATCATCAGGCTCACCAATGTCATACCGTTGGGTCCTTCCCAAAACCGTCCGAAGCGACACAGGAATCTCCCTGGGGTTCGGAAGGGTCGGAATCCATGAGTGACTAGGACCCTGAACAAGCGGCGCTGCGGCACCACCTTGCGGTGGGCTTGGTTGAAGCTTGGAGCTCTCACTGGGATCGACTTTCACCGGCACGGCACCACCTTGCGGTGGGCTATTCTCCGCTGTCGACAAGACAGTCCTGAGTGAGTCGACCTCAGCTATAAGCTCCGCATTCCTGTCCTGCAGGTCATCAACCAAGCTATCGTACTGCTGTGCCTCAGAGGTTAGCCTATGGTAGTACTCATTCTCTTCCCATTGAAGCTTTTCCTCAAACTCAGACCCTAAAAAGGCAATCATCTCACTGTGGTTTTCTTCGATACTCGAGCGCAAATCCGCGAAACGACGTTCATGCTGTCTGTTTTCCGCAGTGAGCGTGCGCGCTGCTGCTTCCAGCTCGGACCGATGTGCATCAAACTGCATGGCCATAGACCTTTCATCATGACTTTCCCTTTGTGCGCGTGCCAGCTGTGCCTGCAGCTCGTTGGCTGATTGTCGTTCTGCTCGGGCGATTGTCTCTAGCACTCGTACTTCATTGTGTAGCTGTCCCACCAACAGGTGTGTGGATTGGCTCACAAATGCTAGTTGTTGACGATGATTCGCATCCGCAGTTGCCTCTAGGTGTGCAATGTATGCGTTGGCTTCGGCGTACACGTTGTCCAGTGCAAAACGATGTCTTTGTTCCGCGCGAAGCTCCAAGGCACTTTGGATGCGGGGGTCATTCAAGAACAAGTTCACCTGAGTATTCTCCTGCAACAAATGCAAGAAGTACTGGTTTGCTTCCTGCTCTTGTCTGCCACCAATACCACCGTCCCCGTTGTTGCCCGCGGCCGTTGTGAACGGCACGATGTCCATTACGGAGCTAACTACGGCTGATAACCTGAAGTTTCCCAGGCTACCAGCTTGACACGGCTAGTTACCGGTAAGTCAACCCTTGTGACCTTTTTCCACGGGGGACTTGGGCCAAGTGCAATCGCGTACAGACATAGCTAAGGACCATGGGAATAGCAATGGAGGCAGGGTAAAATCTACAACCACGCGAAGCTTCGAAATGTTCCTGTATTGAGTGGTCTCAGGCTCGTTGGACTCTGAACTTGGAGACTGCACGGCCCTCGCACTCCTAAGGCCGTCTGCCGAAACCCTGAAAGCCAGCATTCAGTCCCAAAACGCCCTAACATAGGGGCCTGAGGAGCAAGCTTGACCGAAGCAATAGTAGTGCGGGCCAAGAGTTTTCGAATCAGATCCTCTGCAAACGTATGTCGCAAAGGAGTGAGCCTAGCAAACGCCAACCTCAAGAGACCTGAAAAAGCTCAAAGACCGGAGGCGGCGCAACAAACGAACCGGCAGCAAATACTTACAGGTGTGTGGTTGTCAAAAGTATGGTCCCTTTTTGGGTCCCTATTATAATACGGCACCTATTATTCAGGGTACCCAAAAAGGGACCCTAATTTTGACAACCACCCAGGTGAAGGGCACAGGCCGGTAGGAACCGAATATATGCAGACGCCGCTGTACGTAGAGGCGTCGCTGCGCGAAACGACCGCATACGACCGCTTCGCCGAGGCGCCTCATAATCAGAATAGGGTTACCGTATCTGGGCCCTCAAAAAAGTAGAAAAGGGTTCCTTAAAAGGGTTCCTTTAAGGGATACTATAAGGGTACTGTCAGGAATTAAGGGATGTCGGGGCCTTCATAATTAGAACAGGGTTTTGGGACCCATGATACCATAGTTATAGTAAGGAACCCCCACAATACTGTTGATGATATAAATCCTGCACGACCCAGAATAAGGAATATACCATAATTCCCATAGTTTAGGGTCCTTAAGGTAGTGCAGGATTTATATCATCAACCGTAGTAGAGGTAATTATTCAGGCCGCTATACTACAGGCCGGCAAGCCCCGAACTCCAACCCCTCAACTTACACCTTAAACCCTACTTGGAGGCTCATGGGTAGTTATAAGTAGGGTTATAAGTAGGGTAACTATACTTGTACCCCATATTAGGGGACATCTAGCCCCACTTATCACTACCCATGAGCCTCCAAGTAAACCCTTAAGACTATAATAACTATAAGCAAGAGACTCGAAACCCAGAAATCAGGTACAGTATACGACCATACAACCTGCTAAGGATCCTTCAAACCTGAGCAGCACTCCTGAATTAAGGGGGTTTGGAGCCCCTAAACCCACTCCCAAAAAAACGCGAAAGGTCCCAGGTCAGGGTTTCAAGGTATGACTGTTACTTAGAGGATCATGGGACTTAGTAAGTAGGTTATAATTGGGGTTATAAGTCCCCTAAAAGTGGGGCTTACTAAGTCCCATGAGCCTTCAAGTAGCGCTTCGGAGAGCTTGTCATTGGGGAAACTACAACCCTGACCCTTGACTTGGGAGGATCTAGAGTGAATCTAGAAAGTAGATCCCTTATTCGGGGTCCCGATAAAGTACCCGTTCCTAGTACAGGTGAACCCTACATCCAGAACCCTAAACCCTAAACCCCTAACCCCTAGACCCTAAACCGCTAAACCCCGTTCTGGGGCTTTGGAGAACTCGGATGGCGTGGACCTCACCCGGCTTCGTCAACTCGCAGTTACCGCCACCGGCCGCCGCAAGATCTACGATGACCTTTCCGAAGGGTTCAGTGTTCATGGCTTTGGGCTTCAAGCTTCTAGGGTTTAGTACTTCGGGCTTGGTTTAGGGATATGGGGTTTAGGGTTCAGGGGTTGGGGCTTACGGTTTGGGGTTCAGGGCTTATATATGGCTTCTGGTGCTTAACGTGTAGAGGGCTTTGATGTGGGGGTTTGAGGTTTGTAAGGCTTGCGCAGTGGAGGCTTTAGGCTTCAGGGCATCAGGGTTTTAGTATGTTTGGGGTTTGGGGCGGAGAAGATGTCTTTCAACGTTTGAAGAATTCCTCGAACGTTTAAGGTATTTAAGCTTTCTAGGGCAGAACACATATTGGGGGACTTCTAGCCCCACTTGTACCCATGAACCTCCAAGTAGAAGGCAACAGTGTCACGGTTCGGGGCCCGGACGCTTCCGGGACGCATGGCGCCCACGGCGTCCTTGGTGATCAGCAGAGGCGAGGGTCGCCCAGGGATGGCGGCTGTGGAGATGGCGATGTCGCACTCGGACAGGACTTTCCTGAGTCTTCGGGTCATATAGGGGCCTTAATAATTAGAATATGGTTTTGAAGCCCATTATATACTTAGTATAAGGAACCCCCAAAATAGTATCGGTAGTTATTGGGGCCCATATATTACTTGGAGGTTCTTGGATAGTTATATGTAAGTGAGGTCATCAGTAGGGCAATACAGCTCATATTACCCACCTGTATCTACCACCCACGAACGCTCCAAGTAAGCGTTCCTTCGAGTGCTACTGCACGCGGTTGCTACACGCCCTAAACCCTAAACCCTGGGTGACCATACCCTAAACCCTAAACCCTAAACCCTAAACCCTAAACCCTGGGTGACCATAGTCCACGCAACGGTTTTAGTCTTTGGGATGTAGGGGACTTTATGGGCGTTGAGGGGCTTTGTGGTCCCAAGTGTTGGAAGCTCCCCTAAACCCTAAACAAGTAAACACCCCCGAAAGAATCGAAGATGAGTGTCCGCCTTTAACTCCAAGACCCTGCAACCCCAAATACACGAAATCTGCTGCTAGACCTCCCAAAAGTCCGAAGTCTAACCGCTAAAATTCTAGAACCCAGGAAACCTTCAAAGGCACCTTCAACAAGGAACCCTTAGAAGGAACTAAGGAATCGAGGAGAAGCGTCTTGAAAGTCTCCTGCTGCACCTTCTTGAAGGCATCCGAAGATTCCTTGGCGTAGCCGCCCTGGCCCTCGCCGCTCTCCTCAAGCTCGGAGTGCTCACAGGGCTTGGGTGGAGGGGTTTAGGGTTGAGGCTTGAGGGTTTGAGGTTTCGGGTTTAGGGTAGTGGCTTTAGGGTGTTTTTGGGTCAGGTCTCTAAAGGTTGTTCATAAGGTTTACCGGTTTACTGATGCCGCGTCGAAGAAAGAGCCTCAAGCGCAGGGTCTCGCCGTGGTTGGAAAAGGCGTGTTGAGAATTTCTGGACATGATAAGGGACCCCAAACCCTACCACAACCTCCCAAAACCTACTTTTTGAAGGGGTCCCTATACAATCTATGTCAGGGTTTTTAATATGCACCTGCAAACAAGTAGGACAAGGTAGACCCTAAACCCCCAACCGTAGGTCCTAAACTTTAAAGCCTAACTCCTAAACCCTAAACCCTAAACCCTAAACCCTAAACCCTAAACCCAAACCGCTGTGTAATGCCCGAGTAGCAGGAGGCTTAACAGGAGGATCCCCCAAGCGAAGGAATCCAAGGCTGCCGGAAATCCCACGGTTTAGGGTTTAGGGTTTAGGGTTTAGGGTTTAGGGTTTAGCAACCTTTCTACCACTTAATGTAGGAACCTGATCAAGACACCCTGGGTATTTATTAGGGTTCCTTAACTGTCTATATTAAGGGTCGTATTGAGGGCTATGTATAAAGATAGTCCAAGTGTTACTCTATAACCCCTGCAAGACCGTTCTAGGGCGCGTAGTCAGGAAGCACAAAGCCAATACCCCTTGATTAAAAAGTATAGCTTGAACAATAGCATAACTTCATTGATATTCCTCAATTAAGGAATACTTGAAGGCTCATGGGACTTAGTAAGTAAGGTTATAAGTAAGTAGGTTATAATTAGGATAACCCCACTTAGGGGACTTATAACCCCAACTATAACCTACTTACTAAGGCCCATGATCCTCTAAGTAAACCCTAAGCCCCACGCGAACCCTACACCCTCAACCCGGTGAATTCCTTAAGAAAGGGGTATTGGTTGGGTACGGCCCCCATACAGTAACAGTCTATAATAGGGCTACTGTACAGGGCCAAATATAACTATGCTTGGGCTCTCCGGGTAGAAGCCTGATAAGAGACCCAGGGCCCGAAAATGGCGTTCTGGTTCAAGGCCCTATACCCCAAACCCAAGGCCCAAGACCACAAACCCTAAACCTTAATTGTGGTTTATTAGGGTTTAGGGTCGAACTCAAAACCCCAAGCCCCAAAAGTCCAAAACTTGCCTTGAATTCCACGCTGACCCACTTGGCGCCCATGGAGTGGACCTGGCCGTCAGGGTTTAGGGGATAAGGGTTTATGGGGAAAGTTCGAGGCTTAGGGTTCATCTCTGTGAATCTGATTCATGACATGGTGTCCCCTGCTTCGCGGTCTGGTTTCCAAGGCGCTCCATGTTGCAGGATCTACACTAAGAATAGGGGGGAGGATGAGCAAAGACAGAAGTTCTCAAACCCAGTCTTAACTTTCTTCCAATAGACATCAAGATATAAGCGGACCTTATCAGGTCATCAGAGCTTCGATAATGCTGCAAAGGAAGGACCTAGGATTCAGGGTTTAGGGTTAATTGTTTAGGGTTTCATGAACCTTTGCAGAAGCATGTCGGTGTTTAGAGCTTTACATGGATTGGACCAGGGCGGCTTGGGTTTTCGGTGTTGGTCAGTCCTTGAGGCTCCTTCATTCATTCTGAAGGTCCGGGTGGTGGAGGGATGTCTTGCATCGGTGTAGGGACTTAAATAGGGGTTTCCGAAAATAGGGGACCCTAATACAGTACCCTAAATAGTAGGATCCTTATTATGAGGACCCCAGAATAAGGTACCCCTGGTTTTCAGCAACTCCCAAATGTGTGCAGTTCGAGGCACTGCCCCTGCACCCTGAGCCCAGTCTCAAAAACAAAACCCGTCAACCTCAAACACCCCCCAAAAGCGCAAAGCTCTAAAACTACCAAACCCTAAACCCCCGATTTGTCTTAGAGCCCAAAATTAAGAAGCCTAAAACTACCAAACCCTGAACCCCCGACTTGTATTAGAGCCCCAAGTTTAGAACCAACTCCAACATCTTGCCGGTAACACAACTCCGTGCTTGCCTGGTCAGAGACGTCACGGACATCCCAGGCCCGCACGACCTCGATGGATTTAGGGATTAGGGTTTAGGGTGTAGGAAGTTTAGGGTTTAGGGTCTAGGGCTTAGGTTGAGGGTTTAGGGTGTAGGGTTTAGGGTTTCTGAGGGGTTCTGAGCCAAAACTGGACAGCCTTTCGGGCAAACAAAACCTCGGTAATGGATCGGCTCACATCCTGCACGTTGACCGCACCCGAACCCGTAACCTTACCAACCCCCTCATTCCAAGCTCCACAACGAAAAGCTCGAAGCTTTCTGAACTTCGTCTTTGTGCCTGAATTAATTGTCGGTCTTTGGTTAGGTATCTACCTCTTGAATGCCGCTAAACCCTAAAACGCTGAACCCGAACCTTTAACTGAGAAAGCAACTCAATCCAAACTCTAAAACCCCAAAAACCCTAAACCCCTTAAAAGCGGACCCCTAAACCGTAAAACCCTAAACCCCTTAACTTAAAAGAAGACCCCTAAACCCAAACCCTCAACCCTTTAAAAGAAGACCCCTAAGCCCTGAAAACCCTAAAGCCCTAAACCCTAAGCCCTGAACCCTAAACCCTAAACCTTAAACCCTAAACCCCTAAACCCCAAAGCCCGAAGGCCCTAAAACCCTTTTAAAAGCGGTCTAAAGCCCCAACCCTTTTAAAAGCATTCTGAAGCCCTAAAACCCTAAAACCCTACACCCCAAAAAGCCTAAAGCCCTAAACCCTAAACCCTTTTAAAAAGCGCTCTAAAGCCCCAAACCCTTTAAAAGCATTCTGAAGCCCTAAAACCCTAAAACCCTACACCCCAAAAAGCCTAAAGCCCTAAACCCTAAACCCTTTTAAAAAGCGCTCTAAAGCCCCAAACCCTTTAAAAGCATTCTGAAGCCCTAAAACCCTAAAACCCTACACCCCAAAAAGCCTAAAGCCCTAAACCCTAAACCCTTTTAAAAAGCGCTCTAAAGCCCCAAACCCTTTAAAAGCATTCTGAAGCCCTAAAACCCTAAAACCCTACACCCCAAAAAGCCTAAAGCCCTAAACCCTAAACCCTTTTAAAAAGCGCTCTAAAGCCCCAAACCCTTTAAAACCCTTCTACAGCCCCAAAGCCCTAAACCCTAAACCTTAAACCTAAACCCCTAAACCCCAAAGCCCCAAAGCCCCAAAGCCCCAAAGCCCCAAAGCCCCAAACCCTTTTAAAAGCGTTCTAAAGCCCCAAACCCTTTAAAAGCATTCTGAAGCCCTAAAACCCTAAAACCCTACACCCCAAAAATCCTAAAGCCCTAAACCCTAAACCCCTTGTAAAAGCGTTCCAAAGCCCCAAAGCCCTAAAACCCTTTTAAAAGCGCTCTAAAGCCCTAAACCCTAAACCCTAAACCCTTTTAAAGAAGATCCTAAACCCTAAAGCCCCAAAGCCCCAAAGCCCTAAAACCCTTTAAAAGCGTTCCAAAGCCCTAAAACCTTCTAAAAGCGAAGATCCTAAACCCTAAAGCCCCAAACCCTAAACCCTTTTAAAGAAGACCCTAAAACCCCCTTTTTAAAGCGTTCCAAAGCCCTGAAACTTGAAAACCCTAAACCCCAAAGCCCCAAAGCCCCAAAGCCCCAGAGCCCTAAACCCCTTTAAGAGCGTTCTACAGCCCTAAACCCTTTTAAAAGCGTTCGAAAGCCGGGCTGCGGAGCCCATGGCCTTGGAAGTACCGATGGCCGCCAGGCCGGCGACGCCGCAGCCCAGGACGAAAGTCTGCGAGGGCGGGTACTTGCCTCGGTTTAGGGCAGTTTAGGGTTCTAGGGTTTGGGGTTTACGGTGTAGGCTTTAGGGTGTAGGGTTTCAGGGTTTCAGGGTTTAGGGTTTTAGGGTACTTGCCTCGGTTTAGGGCAGTTTATATAGGGTTTTAGGGTACTTGCCTCCGAGGGATTTCGGTTTCAGGGTTCAGGGTTTCAGGGTTCGGGTTTAGGGTGTAGAGTTTTAGGGTTTAGGGTTTTAGGGTATGGGGTTTTTAGGGTTTAGGGCTTTAGGGTCTAGGGTGTAGGGGTGTAGGATTTAGGGTTTTAGGTATTTGCCTCGGTTTGGGGTGTAGGTGTTTGGGGTTTCAGGTTTCAGATGTAAGGTTATAGTTGAGGGTACTTGCCTCCGAGGAATTGGGTTTAGGGTTTTGGGGTTTCGCGTTCGGGTTTAGGATTCGGGGTTAGAGTTCGGGGGCGAAACGTTTCCAGGGCTGGAAGATCTTGGGGCTTTGTCTGTCTGGTGCTTAATAGGGAGGGGAATGGATCCCTATAGCAGTCCCTATATACTCCCCAATAATAGTCCCCATAACCCATTCCCTCCAGTCCCTACTAAGAACCTAAGAACCAGACAGTTGTGGGTTAGGGCTTTTTGGTTTTTTGGGGTTTCAGTGTTTGGGGGTTTAAGGTTTAGGGTAGGGCTTTTTGAGTTTTCGGTTTTTGGGGTTTCGGGTTCAGGGTTTAGGGTAAAGCTTCTTGGGTTTTGAGTCTTCGGGTTTGGGGTTTCGGGGATCAGGGTTTAGGGTAAAGCTGTTTTGGGTTTTCGGGGTCAGGGTCTTGGGATCGCAGTCCTGAATGACACTTCAGGGTGGGGGTTGATGATGGTAACGACGGTGATGACGGTGATGACGGTGATGATGGTGGTGATGGTGGTGATGGTGGTGATGGTGGTGATGGTGGTGATGGTGGTGATGGTGGCGCTGATTATGATCATGAAGGTGATGGTTGTTGATGAGGTCGCAGTGACTACAGTGACTCATCATAACAGGGATGGCCGTGATGTGTACAGCCATTGTACGCATTACTGTCACTTCTTCCCTACGGCATCATCTTTCGTGGCTTGCTTATCATGTGTGCAACACATGGTTTTGCTGTTGCTCTTTTCCTGCGGTTGATGATATTAAACCCTGCACTACCCACAACAAGGAAAAACCCCTAAATCCCATAATTTAGGGTCATTCAGGTAGTGCAGGATTTCTATCATCAACCGCGTGGCCCTTGTTGCAAACACGTGGTGACCGGTCTTTCGTGCCTTAGGAGATCGGAACAGGCGGCCGACGCCCGTCAGACCAACCGTCACCCCCAAAGCCCCAGCTTTCCCAAACCCGTAATAGCCCAAACCCCAAAACTTTAAAACTTTAGGCTCCATAGCAGTTCCTTTTTGGGGACTACCTTATAGGATCCTAGATATGAAACAAAAAAAAGAACTACTCTGGAGCCTATGGGTAAACCCTGAAGTCCGAACCCCCAAACCCGGCCTGCGGCCGTCATCTCGGCAGTGTGGAAACCTGGGCTTTTAAGTAGCCAGGCAGAAAAAAGTATCAACTTTCATTTCATAAGGGTTCCCTTAAGAAAAAAGTGTTAAAGTATAATTTTGTATTTCATAAGGGTTCCTTTAAGAAAAAAGTGTTAAAGTATAAGTTTGTATTTCATAAGGGTTCCCTTAAGGAAAAAAGTGTTAAAGTATAAGTTTGTATTTCATAAGGGTTCCCTTAAGAAAAAAGTGTTAAAGTATAAGTTTGTATTTCATAAGGGTTCCTTTAAGAAAAAAGTGTTAAAGTATAAGTTTGTATTTCATAAGGGTTCCCTTAAGGAAAAAAAGTGTTAAAGTATAAGTTTGTATTTCACAATGGTTCCTTTAAGAAAAAAGGGTTAAAGTATAAGTTTGTATTTCATAAGGGTTCACTTAAGAAAAGTGTTAAAGTATAAGTTTGTATTTCACAATGGTTCCTTTAAGAAACCAGTGATAATTTATAAGTTTGTATTTCATAAGGGTTCCTTTAAGAAAAAAGTGATAATTTATAAGTTTGTATTTCATAAGGGTTCCTTTAAGAAAAATGTGTTAAAGTATAAGTTTGTGTTTCACAAGGGTTCCTTTAAGAAAAAAGGGATAAAGCATGGTACTCCAAAGCCCAGAAACGGCCGAAGGAATAGGAGGCCTCGATCACGGCGCGGTGCCCTGGCCCGGTTCAGTTCCCAGGCTCGGACCCAGAGAGCCCAAGACAACTTAAGTAAGGAATACCGAGGGGTTCCTTTAAAGGGATCTATAGGGATCCTTAAGGGGATCCTACAAGGGATCTCTGTACCCCTTAATTCAGGAATAGACCGGATTGACGGTTTCGGGTTTAGGGTTCAGAGAGCCCAGTAACCCTGAAGTAAGGCATAGATCGGGCTGACGGTTTCGACAGCCCAACACCCTTAATCAAGGAATAGACCTCAAGTTATAAGGAGCTTCTTATTATGATTTCAGCTACATTACTTAACTAAGGGGTAGTGGGCTCTCTGGGGTTTTTTTTGGGGGGATACAAGGGGTTCGGGCCTTCAAGAGCTTAGGTCAATGAAGGAGCTTAGGCTTACAGCGGCTGACAGCTTACCTTTGGTTAGTAGGGAATGGAGGAAGGGGGTACAATTATAACTACTATTACTACCATTCTTCCATTCCCTAGTAACAATCGTAAGACAGTCTCGGGTTTTGGGCTTGAGATGTGGGTCGCGCGCGCTGTTCGGATGTGCGAGTCCTCAAGCCGGTGGCTCGATAAAGATTAGGGTTTAGGGTGTAGGGTTGAGGGTTGAGGCTTTAGGGTTTAGGGCTAGATGAGGCCTTTGCAAGCTTAACGGAGTTTGTGGTAGGGTTTAGGGCTAGATGGGGCCTTTACAAGCGTAATGGAGTTTGTGGAAGTTTTACATGTATTTATATACAAACCCTAAACCCTAAACCCTAAACCCTAAACCCTAAACCCTAAACCCTAAACCCTTAACCCTAAACCCTAAACCCTAAACCCTAAACCCTAAACCCTAAACCCTAAACCCTAAACACTAAACCCTAAACCCTAAACCCTAAACCCTAAACCCTAAACCCTAACAAGTAACAATGGCGATTCTTGCAACCCTAGGTCCCCAAATGCCTAAAAAAGTTCTTTCCAAGGGTAAAAGCAGGGACCCTTAATGGGTCCCTTTAAAGGGATCTGTAGGGATTCTATAGGGGTTTAGGGTTTAGGGGTTTAGGGTTTAGGGTTTTAAAAGGAGGGACCCTTAATAAGGACCCCTAGGTATATACCCTTGATATAGCTATTATATACCCATTCTATAGCCCAGCATAGGGTAGGGGGGCCCCCTAACCCAATGGAACCTTTAAAATGGCTCTATAAAACAAGTCTTATGAAAAACGTCATAGAGCCCGGAGACACCCTTCCGAAAACCTATTGAGGGAAGCCTCTCCACCCTAACACCCTAAACCCGGAACCCTAAACCCCAAACTCTGAACCCCGAAATCCGAAACCCCTAAACCCTGAAGCCTAACACCCTAAACCCCAAGCCCTAAACCCTGAAACCCTCAACCCTCATGAAAATCGGAGGCCTCAAAAGGTGGGATGAAGGTAGGTGGGATATTCGCAAATAAGAGTCCTTATATAAGGGATCCTTAATCCTACCTACCTTCATCCCACCTTTTGAGGCCCTCATGGAAAGAACCCTCAAGAAAGGAACCCTCGAAGGCGCCTGCCACCTTAGCCTGGGAGCTGAGGACATCCAACTTCTGCCTGGGTGGGCTTCACTTGGGTGGTTGTCAAAATAATGGTCCCTTTTTTGGGTCCTTATTATAATACGGCACCTAATATTTAGTGTACCCAAAAAGGGGCAATAATTTTGACAACCACCCACTGACTTGGAGGTTCATGCGTAGTTATAAGTGGGGCTATAGGTGGGGCTTCAGGTCTAGTCTCCCGTTTAGCGTTCGGGGTTCCGGCTATGAGGGTTTAGGATTTAGGCTTCAGGTCTGTTCTAGCTAGCGTCCTAGAGTTTACGGTTTAGGTTTAGGGCTTAGATTTTTGGTTTAGGGCTTATATAGAAGGTGTAGGGTTTACAATTACGGCTTAGGGTTTTATCCCCTCAGGGGCCCTGTGTAGCTTCAGGGCCGCAGCCCCCTAGAGGAGAGCCTTTCCCACCCTAGAACCCTGGACTCCCCAACCACCCCGACAACCGAAAGAGTTTAGGGTTTAGGGTATAGGGTTTAGGGGTTGAGGGTTTAGGGTTTAGACAACCGAAAGAGTTTAGGGTTTAGGGTATAGGGTTTAGGGTTTAGGGGTTGAGGGTTTAGGGTTTAGACAACCGAAAGAGTTTAGGGTTTGATTTTCTTTGAGCTATCCTGAGCCGAAACTCCCACACCCGACCCGTAAACCCCCGCCCCTGACAAGACCCGTCGTGGAACCCTTGTGAGCCCTTTGGGAACCCTTCTGAAACCGTGCTACCACAAGATGAAACTCCAAACGAGCTTACTCCTATCACCCGCAATCTCTAAACCCTAAACCCTAAACCCTAAACCCCCAGACGCTGCAGCCAATGAGGGGCGCAATGGTGATGCGCGGGACGGCGGTCACGTCGATGAGGGTGACGCCGGCGGCCTTGGCTTTCTCGCAGATGTCCTGAAAAGATGCTTAGGGGGTTTAGGCTTTTAGAATTCTAAGATTAAAATTAGGGTTTTTAGACTTTCTAAGATTAAAATTAAAGGTTGTTTTTAAGATTTTGGGGTTTGAAGCTGCCGGGTTTTTTGCGGAGTCTTGGCGGGGCTCCATCGATGCAGCGATGCACTAGCTTTAGGGACTGGGGTCCAAGGTTTGAGATTTGGCACACGACCTGAGCAAGAAGCCCGCTCTCTGTGAGGGCCTTACTATTCGGATCCCACTCCCATTTGGGTAAGGGGAGCTTCTCAATCAGGTGGCTACTTGAACGCTCATGGGACTTAGTAAGTAAGGTTATAAGTAGGTCATAATTAGGGTAACCCCACTTAGGGGACTTATAACCCCAATTATAACCTACTTACTAAGCCCCATGATCCTCTAAGTACCTTATCTCCTGACATCTCCCATACGTAGGGATACCACCAATAATCGCGGTTCTGGTGGTATCCATGAACCTTCGCGAGATACTTGACGCGTGTCTGCATTCGGGTTCGTGGGTCCTACCAGATTGTTTGGGGGTTTGGGCGTTTGGGTTTAGGGCCTATAGTTTCGGGCTTTAGGTTTGGAGCTTCCTCGGTTTAGGGTTTAGGGTTTAGGGTTTAGGGTTTAGGGGTTTAGGGTTTAGGGTTTAGGGTTTAGGGCTTTAGGTTTGGAGCTTCCGACTCAATTCGCAAACCAACCCCCATATCTAAATGCTACACCCAAACCCGAACGCAAAGACAACATCCGCTGTAAAAGGTTTAGTTGGAGGTTCATGGGTAGTTATAAGTAGGGTTATAAGTAGGGTAACTATACTTATACCCCACATTAGGGGACTTATAACTCCACTTATAACTACCCATGAACCTCCAAGTAGAGAGCCCCCGAAAGTGGGCCCACGGATCCTTGCCCTTGTCCAGCAGCCGTCCCACCCAGGAGATGATCACCTAGCAGCTTCGCTTGCAGGTTTGGGAGGCCGTTTTGCAGGTTTCGGTTTAGGATTTAGGGTTTAGGGTTTACGGTTTTGGGGTGCCAGTGTGAAGGCACTAGGTGTTCAGGGTTTCGGATTTCCGATTGAAGGCTTGGGAGCTTGAGGTGAGGGTTAAGTCATGGTTTACGAGGGACTAGGCGCTGCAAGGATGGGGAACTGCCCGAAAAATTTCGAATCCTAAAACCTAACCCCCGAATCCCGAAACCCAAACTAAAAAAACCAGCAACCCAAACACCAAACCAAGATATGCTACACCCTAAAACTGGTAAGCCATGAACCTGAACCCTACAGCCCCCTAAACCGAAAAATGCTAAACACCCTAGAGACTAGGCCTCAAACCGAAACCTTAAACGCCTTCCTACAACTCTCACTCCTAGAAGCCCAACAACCTAAACCCTAAGAGCCCTTAACGCAGGCCTTGCCCTTGCACTGTGCGAAGTCTGCCGTGGGCGGCTCGATCGAAAACAGCACCTCGTTGGGATTTCGGGGTTTCAGGCTTTTGGGAATTGGGTTTTCTTTTTTTTAAGTGGGGTTTAGGGTTTGGGGCTTTGGGTTCAAGTGCATGGGGCTGAGCGCGTAAAGTTCAGGGGTTAGGGTTAGGGCTTAGGGTTTCAAGATCTTGAACCCTCAAGATTTTGAGCCCTATAAACACGATACGGCGTACTCCAATGCCACGAAGAGACCCTAGAAACCCCAAACCCTACACCCTAAACCCTAAACCGTCCAAACCCTACACCCGAAACGCTAAGCCCTAAACCCTCAACCCTAAGCCCTAAAAGCCCTAAAAGCCCTAAACCCCCGAAGAGACGTTGCGTCGAGTAGCAGTGCTCTTCTGGATGACACCGGCTCGGCTCGCGATTTTGCAGCCCTGTCGGGGCCAAGTGGGAGTTTCCGAAAACTGGGGGTACCTTATAATAAGGGTCCTACCATATGGGAGTTTCCCAAAGTTAGGGTATCTTATTTTAGATCCTTTTCATAGGGATCCTACTATTCAGGGTACTATATTAGGGTCCCCTATTGTCGGAAACTCCCAAGTATGGCTGGGGAGCTACTCTATATTAAACGCATTGTGTACGGACTCTATATGGGTACTCTTAAACGGGTTTTGAGCTTGGACTTCCAGGCTTAGGGATTAGGGTTTAGGGCGTCGGGCTCATGGCTTATCGTTGAATAGGGTTCAGTGCTTTAGGTTTTTAGGGTTTAGGGTTTTATTCTTTACTTAGGAATTTAGGGCTTTAAGGTTTAGGGCTCAGGGTTTTAGGGTTTTAGGCTTTAGGGCTTTAGGCTTTAGGGCTTTAGGGTTTAGCGTTTACGGTCTAGGTTTAGGGTTTCATTCAGAGGTGTTTGATGTCCAGCTCTGCATGGTTTGCAGCAGCGCTGAGCGCTTTTTTTGGGGCGGCTCAGCGAGGCTGAGAGGAAGAGAAACGAAGAGAAGTAACAAATAAGCGACATGGGACTACATCAATCTTGGAGGTTCCGGGGTAGTTAAAAGTAGGGTTATAATTAGGGTAACTATACTGATAACCCATATTAGGGGACTTATAAGCCTATTTATAACTACTAACTACCCATGAACCTCCAAGATGAGGCGTCACGGTCAGCAACCGAATGGAAGCGGCAAGCATCGACTCCACAGTTTGGTGGCAGAACAGAATACCACGTATCTGCATGGCCGCTCCCAGCACGTAGCATCCTCCGGGCCTGCCACTGAAGGATCTTGCACAGTCAGGGTTTAGGGTTTAGGATTTAGGGTTTCGGGTTTTTTTGATCAATGATAGCGGGTTTAGGGTTTAGGGTTTTGGGTTTAGGGGTTTAGGATCTCTTTAACTCAGGGTGCCTACCCCGCACTAGGAGCCCGAAGTGCATGGCAGCCAGAGGCCCCGTGTCCGAGTGGCCATCCTTGAAATCGGCTCCATCCTGTGCCACAGCGCCACATACATCTGAGCTCCTGTTTTGTCGGAGCTCGTTAGGGCGTGAAGCGGCGCGCCCCCGCGCAGTGTACAGTCGACAATGAAGAGGCGTCCTCATTTAAATGCTTAAACTACCTGTGTAGCAACCCATTTCTCTACTCCCCTCACAAGGACAGCAGCACATATTTCGCAAACCCCGGAAAAGAAACCATAAGCCAACAAACTCGAAAACACAGCTCAAAAACAGTGACCCTTAACGCTATAGCACCCCTACAGAACCCTTATTCAAATCCCCCTGAACCCTAAACCCTAAACCCCTAAGCGCATACGTTCTTAAACCCTCGACTCATGAAAGTCGCAGGTCTCGGAGATCCCGAACTCAACAAGGTGGCCTCTGGAATGCCTCAGGGTAATATAGGTGCCTTAGTGATTACAATAGGGTTTTGGGGCCCATTATACCTTTTAGAATACGGAACCCCCAAAGTAGTATCGGTAATCATGAAGGCCTCTATATTATTGGGGCTTAATGCTTAGAGTTTGGGGCTCATAATTTCAGTTTAGGGCTTTGGGTTTAGGGTTGAGGGTTTAGGTGTCCAAACTTTAAGCTTGAAATAGGATTCGGTTAAAGGACCTTAGCATTTGAGTAGGTATATTAGACAACAATTTTAAGAGGGAACTTTGTGAATACTACTTACTACTAGCAATAATTCTGCCTTCTGTATGTAGCCCAGACCCGGGGCGGACGATCTTCCACGCAGCGCTAAGTCAGGTAGGGCCCCTCACCCACTAATGATGATGGTAACTCTAGGAACTCTTCTGCCACGGGTTGCAGAACTGCAATATTGCACCCGTCCACTCTTGACGGCTTCGCGCAACGTGCACGTCCGTTTCCGTCTGACAAATCGGCACGTGCTATGCAACACGGGCACTCCGCAGAATCAGATGCGAGGTGCGAAATGCTGCAACCTCCCTCAATCATCTCGCCTGTCAGCGCAGGAAGTGCCTGCCTCCTTGTTCTCATTGCCGAAGGCAAACTCGCATGCGACGATGCCCAAACTCCCGTAACATCTTCGGGGTTGCACTTCGGCGCAGGTACGATCGGCTTCCCAAAGAGCTGTCCTCCATGCGCGCGACGCCCCTGAAATGAGGAAGCATTTGCATCGGGACATCGAGATCCAGCGGAAGATCGCAAATGGGGAATCGGGGCCGCCGAAATGCGATCAATCGCCTCGTCAACTCAAACCCCGAAACCCTAGACCCTGAAGCTTAAAGCCCTAAGCCCTAAGCAGAAACCCTGAAACCCTCGAACCCTAAAACCCCTAAAGCTTAAGCCCTAAAATCCCTAAAGCTTGAACCCTAAAGCCCCTGCAGCCTAAAACCTAAAGCTGAAACCCCTAAAGGCCTAAAGCTTAAGCCCCTACAGCTCATAACCCCGAAGCGGGGCGGCCTTCGCCTGGTACGCCTGCCACGGGATACAAAGAATTCGTGGGCAGGAGGCCGTTAGATTCCAGAAGGATTCTAAAAGGGTTTCTTCAAGGGTTCTGTAACGGTTTTAGGTTTTGTGTTTAAGTTGCATTTTAGGGCTCTTTAGAGTTCACGGATCGTTCCTTGAAGGGTTCTAGAAGGGTTCCTGAAAAGGTTCTATAAAGGCCCTTTAACAAGTTTCTTCAAAGCGTTCTGTAGCTGATTCTATAGCGGGTTCTTTAGAGTGGCTCTATAAGTCTATAAAGGTTCCATAAGGGATTGAAAAAGCGTTTAGGGCTTAGGGTTCAAAGTAGGGCTAGGGTGCAAAGACTGGACTTTGAAGTAACCTGGGAGAAAAAAGTATAGACTTTTATTTCATACCTAATGGCTCCTTTAAGGAACAGGTACCCAAAGAAAGTATTCAAGTATGGTACGCCAAACGCAGGAAGAGCACATTGGCTCTTGGGGCTGTTGGGTGTTTAGGGCTTTAGGGCTTCAGGGCTTTAGGCTGAAACTCCACACCTCAGACCTTGCTTTCCGATACCCGTCTACCGATCCTCGCATGGTTAGTAATCGTCGTCGTATCCCTTCGGGTTCCTGATTGTAGTTACAATACGATTTACTTCAAAACCATGTTCGAATTATACCCTAAACCCTAAACCCTAAACCCTAAACCCTAACTAAAACCGTCAACTGGACATCCCGGACCCGAAAGCGCCCATCTTGGATTCGACTTTTGGCAACGCCCGCGTGGAGGTTCATGGGTAGTATTATAAGTGGGGTTATAAGTCACCCAATACTACCCTGAATCCTACGTAATCCCTAAACCCCAAACCCCGTAGATCCCTTAAAAGAACCCTACCTATAACTATACTGAACTTAGAACCCTAGCAAAAATTATAATTTTAGCTGTTTCTTAGGTATTATAATAAACAAAACTTAAAAATCATTTCTAAGTACCCCTAAGTAACCCACTCATAACCACCGATCAACCTCCAAGCAGGGCCCAGGCAAAACGCTCCTGCCTCGTCGGTGAAGCCGGAGTAGATCTCAGTGCTTTACGCGCAAGTTGGGGTTAGGCCCGGACGGCCTAAACCCTGAACCCTAAGCCCTCGAGCCCCTAAGGTTTGGAGTTTGATGGTTTGAAGTTTTAGGCCACGGTTTAGGGTTTAGGGTTTAGGGTTTAGGGTTTGCAATTTGGGGTTTCAAGGCTTCGAGGTTCCAGTGCTGGGCAACTCAGGCATCCTAGACTATGTTTTCAGCGTCTAGCAAGCACCTTCAGCATGAGGATACTGTAGTATGCGTGCAACCCGCATACGAAGTTGCTGTTACTGGGTTTAGGGTTTGGGGTTTAGGGTTTAGGGTTTGGGGTTCAGGGTTTAGTATAGGGGCCTGCATAATTAGAATAGGGTTTTGGGGCCGTGATACTATATCTGTAATCAGGAACCCCCAAGAGAGTATAGGTAATTATTTAGGCCCCTGTAATATAGTACCCTTATAGTATCCCTTCTAGACCCCTTTAAGGATCCCTTTAAAGGGAACCCTAGGTAATTATTTAGGCTCCTAGAACTGTTAGGGTTTTGGTGGAAGGTCAGGGTTGGAGGTCGTACTTGGAGGGGCAGGGGACTTAGTAAGTAGGTTATAAGTAGGGTTATAATTGGGGTAACTCTATTTAGGGCACTTATAACTCTACTTATAACCTACTTACTAAGTCTCCTGCCCTTCCAAGTAGGCTCCGGCTTTGGGGTCTCGTTGGAGCACAAGCTTGGCTCTGATACGGCTGATGATAGAAACCCTGGGGCTCCTTTTAAAGGGATCTATAAGGGTACCTTTTAGGGGTTCCTTTAAGGGGTCTATAGGGTTTAGGGTTAAGGTTGATGATAGAAATCCTGCATGACCTTAAAGACCCTAAACTATGGTTTAGGGGTACAGGGTCTAAGGTTTAGGGTTTAGGGTCTAGGGTCATCACCTTAATGATCCTATACTATGGGAATTATGGCATATTCCTTATTATGGGTCATGCAGGATTTATATCATCAACCGCAGGGTTTCAAGGCATCGTCTCGTGAAGCTATGACAATGAACTTTCAGGAACCGTTTTCTATACTAGTTGTTCAGGCTTCTATATTGCTCCTGGTAATATTGTAAACTTCTAGACTAGTTATTCAGGCTTCTGTATTATTCCTGGTTATACTGCGCCGGTCCGAAAGTTCGTCGCACTCTATGTTGTCCACTTAGAACATGTGTGTTCAAGACCCCTTTTCCCCGTAGACTCCTCCAGAAGTCCTCCGCCGGGAACAATTATCAGAAGTCCTCCGCCGGGAACAATTATAGTACTCCTCCAGAAGTCCTCCGCCGGGAACAATTATCAGAAGTCCTCCGCCGGGAACAATTATAGTACTCCTCCAGAAGTCCTCCGCCGGGAACAATTATCAGAAGTCCTCCGCCGGGAACAATTATAGTACTCCTCCAGAAGTCCTCCGCCGGGAACAATTATCAGAAGTCCTCCGCCGGGAACAATTATAGTACTCCTCCAGAAGTCCTCCGCCGGGAACAATTATCAGAAGTCCTCCGCCGGGAACAATTATAGTACTCCTCCAGAAGTCCTCCGCCGGGAACAATTATCAGAAGTCCTCCGCCGGGAACAATTATAGTACTCCTCCAGAAGTCCTCCGCCGGGAACAATTATAGTACTCCTCCAGAAGTCCTCCGCCGGGAACAATTATCCTCCGCCGGGAACAATTATAGTACTCCTCCAGAAGTCCTCCGCCGGGAACAATTATAGTACTCCTCCAGAAGTCCTCCGCCGGGAACAATTATAGTACTCCTCCAGAAGTCCTCCGCCGGGAACAATTATAGTACTCCTCCAGAAGTCCTCCGCCGGGAACAATTATAGTACTCCTCCAGAAGTCCTCCGCCGGGAACAATTATCAGAAGTCCTCCGCCGGGAACAATTATAGTACTCCTCCAGAAGTCCTCCGCCGGGAACAATTATCAGAAGTCCTCCGCCGGGAACAATTATAGTACTCCTCCAGAAGTCCTCCGCCGGGAACAATTATCAGAAGTCCTCCGCCGGGAACAATTATAGTACTCCTCCAGAAGTCCTCCGCCGGGAACAATTATCAGAAGTCCTCCGCCGGGAACAATTATAGTACTATAATTTCATTCCCGGATGATAATTCCTCCGCTGGCCAGGCTAGGGTATTCCGCACATCCCGTACTCCGCGTACTCCGTTCAGTGTTGCTAGCGGATGCGACGAAACTTTAGTACCGGACATGTATTGTCAACATTCGCTGCTGCTCCTGCTGTTGTCAAGACTGATGTTGTTCTTGTAATTATTGTCATCGCCACAGTTCATATCATGATCGCCGTTACTGTTGCCTTTGTTCGTAAATCAAAACAGAGCTGTAAAATCTTGCCGATCAACCTAGAAGGATGTTAATAACTGGTGAAAACCCTAGAAAGAACCTGATTGATCCCTAAACAAATCTTCAGAGACCTTTCGACCTTTTGATGACCCTGCAGCCGTACTACAACAGCTGCTTAGTTTCTGCAAGCTGTGCGCGCCGATGCGCTTAAAGCAGCTAAAGGAATTCAGTAAATAAGATCCTCTTAGTCCCAGTAACATAAAATCCCTCAGCCGCTGTCTGAGAAGGCGACTCCTGCTCCTTTCTCGACGATCACCTTTGCGTGCTGCATTTTGGGGCCTAGTGGCCTGTAGGGGGCCTCTGGGGTTTAGAGCTGGTTGGTTAAAGTGTTTCGGGTTTAGGGACGGTTTAGGGTTTAGGGTTTAGGGTTTAGGGTTTAGGGTTTAGGGCTTAGGCTTTAGTTCAGGATTTGACGTTTATTTTGACTCCAGCCGGGCATTGGCGAGTTTGAGTAGGGCCTTGGTCGGCATTTACGGTGGAGTGAGAAGCTTTACGCAGCATGGTTTCTACTGCAGCATGGGAAGGTGTTTACACTTTGCCTAAACCCTATATTCTACACCCGAAACCCTCAACCCCTAAACCCTAAACCCTAAACTCTAAGCTCTAAACCCTAGAACCCACCCGAAACCCTGAACCCCTAAACTCTAAACCCTGAGCATGTGTTGCAGTTAGGCTTTGACACTGCCCCCAATCAGCAACAGCTGAGAACTATCCGGGTGGTTGTCAAAACTATGGTCCCTTTTTGGGTACCCTAAATATTAGGTGCCGTACTATATTAGGGACCCAAAAAGGGACCATAATTTTGACAACCACCCATCTATAGTACAGATACTTAAGGCCCTTAGTGATAGCCTTGTTACAGATTGTTATACTGCATGGGGGCTGTACCCAAGACTTGGGACCACCAAAACCGAACACGGACGTCAAGACTAAACTTTGCAGCACGGGGATACTATACAGTCCCAAGTTATGCCCTGAACCCAGCTCCGCGGTCTCCCAAACTTGGATAGTGGAGCACAGGGGAATTGGCGTGCCGACCGGATACAGAAGCCTTCATAGTTAGTTAGGGTTTCGGATTTAGGGAGTAACTCTATGGAGATGTTCATAAACACGAAACCCTCCTTTCATTATTGACGCCTATACTTCTCTCTCTTTACAGCCCTAAACCCTAAATCCTAAGCCCTAAGCCTTAAACCCTAAACCCTAAACCCTAAACCCAGCTTCAGCCGCTTGAACAAATCGAAATCCCACTCCTCAGAAGCGAGGCAGAACCTGACCCATGTACGGCTGCTTCCAGGAGGAAAACGGTTTCAACCGACGGAACAGAGAATAATACACTTGTGAGACCCCTTGTGTCCTCTGTTCCAGCTGGCACCAATCGGCCCATCTGGTTCGAAGCCAGGTGCCATATTGGCATGCTGTATGCCTTCAGCATTACGCTGAGCGCCTTGGTCACACAACCTGTCAAGCTGAGGGCCATTCCCATCAAACCTTCCAGAGTGCGACAGTGCCTTGCAGCCAAGTCGACAAAGTTTGAAGTATCCCGTTGTTCAGCCATGTAGGGGTAAAGCCCTCCACCAAACATCGCCATGCGCTGGCTTTAAGGTTTGGGGTTTAGGGTTTTAAGGTTTAGGGCTTAAGGTTTAGGGTTTTAAGGTTTAGGGCTTAAGGTTTAGCGTTTAGGGTCATAGGGTTCAGGGTTTAGGTGTGTTTGAAAGCCTGAACGCCTAAGACCCAAAATGGTTTCGGCTTGGGGAGCTCAGGAGTCGAGCTGCCTGGCCATAGCCATAGATCCTTATGATAGATCCCTTGTAGAACCCTTTAAAGGACCCTTAAAGGAACCCTATTCTCATTATTAAGGCCCCTATATATTAGGTTGATACTTACAAGTTCATCAGATCTTGTCGCCAGGCGGCCTTAATACGGTTGATGATATAAACCCTGGGGCTCCTTTAAAGGGATCTGTAAGGGTACCTTTTAGGGCTCCTTTAAGGGATCTCTAGGGCTTAGGGTTAAGGCTGGTGATATAAATCCTGCATGACCCATAATAAGGAATATACCATAATTCCCATATATTCCTTATTATGGGTAATGCAGGATTTATATCATCAACCGTATTAAGGCCGCCTGGCGACAAGATCTGATGAACTTGTAAGTATCAACCTAATATAGGGGCCTTAATAATGAGAATAGGGTTCCTTTAAGGGTCCTTTAAAGGGTTCTACAAGGGATCTATCATAAGGATCTATGGCTATGGTATAGAGGGGCCTTAACAATTAGAATAGGGTTTGGGAGCCCTTTACGCTATAATTACAGTAAGGAACCCCCAAAGAATAATATTGGGAGCCCTTTATTAATACTATAACTATAATAAGACCCCTATGTACACGCCTGAACTTTCCGAGTAGGGCGTCAGTAGTATCAGTTTAGCGTGTGGCGTATAGGAATTGCTGTGGTTTGAGGTTTATGGTGTTTTTGGGGGACGCTGAGACCGATAAAACATAGGGTTTAGGGTTCGAAGTTCATTGTCGTATATAACATCTCTTAAGCCTGAAACAGAAACTATCGAGCATAAGGACAATCGCCAAATATCATGCACACAGGTACAGTACATACAGACAGACAGACTGACAGACAGACCGACGGACGGGCGGACTGACTGACTGACACGGACAGACACGCATGCATGCATACATGCATAAACGCATACATACAAATTATGTACGTACAACACATACATACGGACATAACATACTCACATACACACATACGCACAGACATGCATATGTAAGTACAAAAAGTGGCAAGATGGAGAAGCATTGTAGGCTTAACGAAAAAAGCTCGCAACAACGAGCCCTACACTCTAAATGCACAAAACCCTAGAGCAAAAACATATCAGAAATCCCGTAGACCACGTCCAGCAGAACCAAAACCCCACAGTTTTGAACTCTACGAACCGTTCAACCTAATCCTAAACTCTACGCCCGAACTCCTAAGATCCTAAACCCTAAACCCTAAGCTCCAAGCCCCAAGTCCTTAGGCCTTAAGCACATAAACCCTAAACCCCTAAAGCCCTAAACCCTAAAACCCTAAAACCCCAAAGCCCCAAACCCTCAAACCCGAAAACCCTAAAGCCCCACAAGCCCCACAAAGCCCTAAAGCCCTAAACCCTAAAGCCCTAAAGCCGTGAACCCTAAAGCCCCACACAAAGCCCTACAGAAGCGGATCGCCGCCGGGGCCGGTACCCCATAGCCGTCCTTGATGAGCTGCTCGGCGACATCCGGCACCATGCTAATGCGCTGATCGCCTGCTTCGGGGGCTCTTTGTAGGGTTCAGGGCCTTTGGGGTTTCGGGGATTTAGGGGGATTGAGGGTTATGGGGCTATGGGGTTATGGGGATTTAGGGGAGTTGAGGGTTATGGGGTTTAGGGGAGTTGAGGGTTATGGGGTTATGAGGTTTCGGGGTTTAGGGGTTCATCGTTGCTGTTAAGTTGTGTCGCCTGGTTCAGGGTTTAGGCCCAGAGAGCCCAATACCCCTTAATTAAGGAATATGGCTTAAATTATATAGGGGCTTAATATTATGATTTAAGCTATATTCCTTCATTGAGGGGTATGGAGCCCCCTGAACCCTAAACCCTATAGATCCATTAAAGGAGCCCTATAGGCCCTAGGTATTCCTTAATTAAGGGGTATTGGGCTCTCTGGGGGGTTTAGGATTCAACTGCTTGGGGTCTTGGAGATGTGAGGTTCGCGGGTTTAGGTCAAAGGTTCCGTGTGGCCAGGGTTTAAGGTTTAGGGTTTAGGGTTTAGGGTTTAGGGTTTAGGGCTTCTAATAATTTTACAATCGGTGCTTTGCTGTTTACAAGGCTTCCTTCCAAACTCTGAAAGGGCTTTCTTTGGCTGCAGATGGCTTTACACCCAGTCGCCCGCGAGGATCCAACAGTGGAGGGGTTCCTGCACAGTACCCTTTAGTGGTACAGCGTCCCAAACTAAACCCTAAACCCTAAACCCTAAACCCTCAACCCTAAACCCTAACTAGGGGTTCTACTTTCGAGATCCTTCCGTTGGTTTGGGGTCTTGGGGTTTAGGGTTTAGGGTTTAGGGTTTAGGGGGTGTCAATAAAGACTAGGCTCTACTAGTGTTGTAAGGTTTGCAGAACCCAGTTCCATGGCATGTCGTGGGACGGCACACCAACCACAAGCACAGCGAGCTCCCAGCGGGGAATCGTAACATGTTCGAATTCTTACCGGTCCCAAGCGCTTCGGCCCGATACGTTGGATTGCGAGCAACTCCCTAAACCCTAAACCCCTTGCGCCTTTGGAGATGCGGCTGTCTGGGTTGAAGCCCTCGTGCAAGACACCGAGCTCCTCTATGGAAAAGGAGCAGAACATGTATCAGCTTTGCTGGAAAGGGTGTAGGAGAAGGGGGCTCACCCTAAACCATAAACCAAGCCACGACTAGGGCCAAGAGTTTGGGGGTTCTGCATCGCGCTTCACCTGCAGCAAAATGGTGTTGGATGCTCCGCTGCAACAAGTGGTCTAACCGTACTTAGAGGATCATGGGACTTAGTAAGTAGGTTATAATTGGGGTTATAGGTCCCCTAAGTGGGGTTGTCCTAATTATAACCTACTTATAACCTTACTTACTAAGTCCCGTGAGCCTTCAAGTAACACAGCGTGCGGCTTCCCATCTGGTGGATGCGCCTCCTTGACCAAGCGCAAAAGAAATATTCCGGCCCTTTTGCCAGCTTCGTCACTGCCAACTCCCTGCCCACTTCGGGCTTGCACAAAACAAGAGAGGCTCACCCCAATTGAAGTGTAAGGGTTTAGGGTTTAGGGATAGAAATCCCTCAAAGGAAGCCCGGAAAGCCTGGGTAAAGCCCACATCGCAGCTGCTTTTCCAACCTTCCGGAGGCTGGCCCCCAAAACCTCCCGATCTACTAGGAGTCGATTTGAAAACATCCCCAAGCTCATTTATGATTAGTGCGCTATATTAAGCAGTAAGAGAAATGGAAAACCTACAGTAAACCCAAGAAAGTTGGAAACTGGGCTAAGGCCAAGCAGTGCTGGGATTCCCCATACATTAGTCTTAAGGATTGAGGCTGTTGGGATTCCAACTTTTGCGCTTCTACTATATCCCAAATCAATACCTAGTCTTCTTCGGACTCGCGCCCGGCCTCAGACAAAGAAAAAAAACAACTGTCGGCGTTAAGGATGTCAGGATAGCGGCATTCACGGTGTTCGGATTTTGAGGGGTTCGGATTCTAGGGGGTTAGGGTTTTCGAGCCAGAGTTTCGGATTTAGGGTTTCGGGGTTTAGGGGTTTGGGGTTTTGGCTTCGGGTTTCGTGTTATAGGGTTTGGGGATAAGGTTTAAGGGGGTTAGGATTTTGGGGGTGAGAGTTTTGGGGGTTAAGGGTTTAGGTGCTTCCGGGGTTTAGGGCTTTAGGGTTTAGGTTCGGGTTCTTTGTAGGGTTTCGGGAGCCCGTGGGAATACTTAGGCCAGGAGCTGCAAACGGCCAAGCCTAGATCCCGTTTAGGGGTTTAGGGTTTAGGGTTTACTTGAAGGCTCATGGGACTCAGAAAGTAAGGTTATAAGTAGGTTATAAATAGGAACACCCCACTTAGGGGACTTATAACCCCAATTATGACCTACTTACTAAGTCCCATGATCCTCTAAGTAGGGGTTGAAGGGTTTAGGGTTTAGGGACCTCAGACCATGTATTTCCCGAATCAGAAGATGCGCCTTAGGCCTTTGACTTTGGGGTTGCTTGGAGCTTTAGGCTACAGTAGAAGCCAGAAAGTTGGAATATCATTATCGTAACCCCTTTAAGGTAAATTATAGGGGATCCTACCACTAATCCATATTCCAACTTTCTGGAGTTCCCTTTAGGGTTTAGGGATGCAACTCAGGGCTTTGGCTTTAGGGCTCGGGTTTAGGGCTTTTATGCAACCTTGCACCCAACACCCAACCATACCTCTAGCCCTCCTGATGCAGCAGAACCCTGGCCGCAACTCCTAATGCCTCAACCGACCTGAATGGCCCAAATCCTAGAAACCAATATCCCTCAATCTCAGCCCCAACCTGGGTTCATAGGGTTTAGGGTTTAGGGTTTAGGGTTCAGGCTTCCGAAATTCCAGACCCTCAACCGGCAAATCCGCAACGAGGTGCCTTACAGCTTCGGGTTTCGAGTTTCGGGCTTAGGGTTTAGGTCCAGCATCACAGCGGCACCCGCGGTCGCTTGAGGTAGCCTCGGAATCCACACATAACACTAGGGTGCCAGGCTAGGACTGCTCCTTTAAGGGTCTATAGGGTTTAGGGTTTAGGGCTACACGGCTCCTTTAATTTAAGGCTTCTTTGCGGGCCGCATCAGGATTCTATGGCTCATCTGACAAGGTCATAGATAGCTTAAAGTTCAGGGCACCTTGTAGGTAGTAGGGTCAGAACCGTAAAGTGTAGCTACGCGTATATGGCACTTATAAACCTATCTGAATGTAACTACTAGGTTGGCCCTTCAAAACCTCTGACAAATATTCGTAAAGAGGATCCTATGAAGCCCAATAAGGGAAACCCTAAACCCTAAGCCCTAAACCCCTAAACCCTAAAACCCTAAAACCCTAACCTCTAAACCCTAAATACAAAATGTCCCAAAAGCCTGCCTCGACTACGTGTGAACGTTCTGATAGTGCCTTTCATGTGAAGACTCTAGGGGCTTCGGGTTTAGAGTTCAGCACTTGGGTGGTTGTCAAAATTAGGGTCCCTGTTTGGGTACCCTAAATATAAGGTGCCGTATTATATGAGGGACCCACAAAGGGACCCTAATTTTTGACAACCACCCATTTAGGGTTTTATGGTGTGGGGTCTAGGGCTTACAGCTTGGAGTTGTGGATGAGAGCCCTGATTATGACCCCTCCCTGCCTTGCAGAAACCTGTGGATTCACAAATGTCTAATGTAGAAGCCCGAATCATTGCTCATAGTAGTCCTTAGCGCTCCTAACGATAACTCTTCTCCTATATGGGTAGTTCTCCAAACTAGGGTCCCTCTAGGGTCCTGTTTACAAGGGTGCCGTACTACTTTGGTGACCCAAACGGGGACCCTAGTTTAGAGAACTACTCGTCTAGTACCCTGATGGAAACCCTACAGAAACCCTTATCGATCCCTGTCGCCCTAAACCCTAAACCCTGTTTTAGAGAACCGCCCGCATTACATTGAGGGGCTTCGGGCCGGTAGTCCTTAGGTCTCGGCTGGGTTTCTAAGAGCTGGAAGAAATCCTTGCCGAGGCACCTCGAGACTAGTAAGAAAGGAAATTCATCCGATCTGTTCAAATGTTCTGAAGAGGTATGAGATGAGTGCAGTGAGGACCTGAGTCTAAGGCGCTTGTGTTACCCAGAGAGCCCAATGCCCCGTAATTAAGGAATATACCTTAAGTCATTAGGGGCTTCATATAACGATCTAAGCTATATTCCCTAGTTCAGGGGTATTGGGCTCTTTGGGTATGCAGTTATAGTGCTGGTAGGTCAGAAACCTCTCAGCGGTTAAATGATGTTAAAAAAAAACTATCAGCCCCTACGAGCACTCGCCGAACACCCTCAGATCTTCCACGAAAGCCAGGCCACGCATCGTTCTGCAGCAGTGGTGCAGTCGCCATGACCTGCCAGGTCTACTTCGTCACAGGGGGGTAGGACCTAGGGCTCCATGATGCCTAGAATGCCTGGAAACGGTTTGCAGATTCACCTTAATATCGAAAACCCAGAACCCTAAACCCCAATATCAAAAATCCTAAACCCTAAACCTTAATCTCAAAACCCCTAAACCCTGAACCCTTACATCAAAAAGGCCTGAACCCCAAACCTGAACTCCTCAACCCCCCAAATTACAAAACTGAAGCTTTAACGTGTAGGGTGTAGGATTTTTCATAATAGGGGACCTCAATGTAGTTCCCTAAATAGTAGGATCCTTATTATAAGGACCCCCACAAATAAGGTACCCCCTGATTTTCAGAAACTCCCACATAAGTGGTCGGCAAAATTGTGGTCCCTTTTGGGTCCCTAATATAGTACGGCACCTAATATTTAGGGTACCCAAAACGGGGCCCTAATTTTGACAACTACCCATATGATGCTTTGGAGGGAGGCCTCGGAGCGCTCGGGGATTTTTGAACAGGTTTTCAGAGGGTTTCAGAGGCGCCTACTGTAGGAACCCAGAGAGCCCAATACCCCTTAATTAAGGAATATACCTTAAATCATTAGGGGCTTCATATAACGATTTAAGCTACATTATTTAGTTAAGGGGTATTGGGGGCTCTGGGAACCTGATTAAGAAACTCTTATAGTAGAAGCCAGAACGTTGGAACATCAATATCCTCATGCCTTTAAAATGAAGTATAGGGGATCCTAGCACCAATCCGCCTAAACCCATGTTCCAACTTTCTGGGGTTCTCTGCAGATCTATAACCCCGATATATTAGGATCCTTATTCAGAACCCTCAAAAGGACCCAAGATTTCTTAATCAGGTTCCTACATTAGTCTGGGTTCTCGTTAAGGAATTAAATTTCGGTTACCACAATAGGGATTCATAAGGGCTCCTTTAAGGGATCGACAAGGGTTCCTTTAAGGGTTTAGGGTTTAAGGCCTAAGCTACCATAACAGGGATCTAGTGCAACTAGTATGGTTTCGTGATGGTAACTTAAACTAAGTTCACTAACAAGAGTCCAGACATGAAGGGGCTGAAGGGGCCTTAGGAACTGGAGTGTGATGCCCATGGGATTTAAACAAACATGATGTTGAGAGTATGGATAATTACATGCAATTACTCAGCTTGTCTGTTGAGGAGTATTGAACCCGATTCCTAAGTGCTGATGATTCTCCATGGCTCGGATGGGTCATAGTACCAAAGATCTGCTCAGCATGAGGCTTTGAAGCTTGCGTGTAGGGGGCTGGGGTGACCACCGCCCCTAGAACCCTAGACTGCAGACACTATACCTTCTAGGATGCCCAGTAACCTAGGAATAAAATGGGCTCCCTTTTCGGTATTGGGTAGCCTTATAAGGAACCTAGGACTACAAAAAGGGAATGAGGGTACTACTGGGCATCCTAGCCGTCGATCCAAACATGGGCCTAAGCAGAAATCTCCTGTATAGTTACCTTACTTAGAACCCGCCCTACTTATAACTCCCCATGAACCCTAAGCCCTAATCCCTAATCCCGAATCCCTGAAGCCTCAACCCTTTAGATCCCTGTAAGGGAACCCTAAACCTCTTATAACCCTATTTGCACCTCCTATACTGAACTTAGAACCCGAGCAAAAATTATAATTTTAGTTGTTTCTTAGGGATTATAATAACCAAAAACTAAAAATTATTTCTAAGTACCCCTAAGCCTCCCCATGAAACTCCAAGTGCGGGCGGGCAGGGCACACTCGACTCCCCGGCCTCTTCCAACCCGTGGATGTCCTCGGCGGGGTAGGGTTCAGGGTTTAGGGTTTAGGGTTTAGGGTTTAGGGTTTAGGGTGAACTACCTGAATGATTAGAATGTGGCTTCGGGGTATCTCGTAGTATAAAGCATACTTAGGAACTACCTGAATGGTTACAATATGGCTTCGGGCTATAGTGTAGTACAAAGTGTACTTAAGAACATATACCCTGATGATAAGCAGCCATCAAGAAGAATGCTACTCGATACAGGCCTCTATATAGGAGTTTCCGAAAATAGGGGACCCTAACATAGTACCCTAAAGAGTTGGATCCATACCACAAGAACCCCAAAAATGGGTACCCCCAATTGTCGGAAACGCCCGTATTGCCTCGGAACCTCAGCAGCGACCCCCAAAACTAAACTCTTGCAAAGTGTGGGTTTCCGAAAATTTTGGGGGGTCCCTTAATTTAGGGTTCCTTGTAAGGATCCTATTATTTTGAGTACTATATTAGGGTCCCCTGTTTGCGGAAACTCCCAAGTGGGTCTCCTGATTTACAAGCCTCTCTCCCTTAACCAAGCATTGTAGGGATCCTGGTATCAGGCCCCAAAACTTAAACCCTATACCCCGAAACCCGAAGCCCTAAACCAAAACGGGGGGCTATTGATCAGGGGTCTACACTATTGGGGACACCCGAGTTAGAATGGAGAGCTCTGGATGATTTGAAATAGTCTGCCGGGATAGCCCCCCTATAAAATTCGAGTAAACCCTAGTCCAAAACACTCAGGCTCCGAAAACACTCATATGTACCCTACAGAACAATTCGGAAACCCTGCTCGGATCTCGAAACTGAGTTAAGGACTATTCCTGATTTAACTATACCCCCCTTAGAGCCATAATAACATTGATAGAGCCATAATAACATTAATATCTTTAATATTCTCTTGGGTCTCTTGGGTTTTATATGAACAAAATACTTCCTAAGGAGACTATAGTTAAGGGATATTGGAGTCTCTGGGCTGCCTCTAACTCTGACATGCTGTAACAAAAGTAAGCTCAACACCAAACAGCTGCAATCTTGCTCCTCAACTCCAGTAGGGTTGTAAGGGGTTTAGGGTTCCCTTAAAGGGATCTATAGGGTTTAGGGCTGAGGGATTAGGGTTTAGGGTTCAGGGAATAGGGTTCATGGGGAGTTATAAGAAGGGTTCTAAGTAGGGTAACTATACTTATTACCCATGTTGGGGGGCTTTTGACTCCACGTATAACTACCCATGAACCTCCAAGTAGCCCCTAAACCCTATACCCTTAGAGAAACCCTATAGATCCCTTCAAAGAAACCCTATAGATCCCTTTAAAGAAACCCTATAGACCCCTTTAAAGAAACCCTATAGATCCCCGTAGAGGGACCCTTAAAGGAACCCTATGAACCTCCAAGAACTCCAGCGGCTCCCCACCCTGAATCCTAAAATCCTCAACGCTCGTGGAGGGCTCTGGTCCGTTTTAGGAGCGTTTCCTTGACTTTAAAGAAGACCACATTACTCTCTTCATATATTTCTAATACAAAGAAATAGTGGAATGTGCGAATGGCTGTTTTGTGTTGTGCTTCATTCATGAGCTCGTGCTTGCCAAACTCGGTCCTTCCTGCAAGGGAGCCGACCCGAATTCGTAATACAGGGGTCTTAACAATTAGAATAGGGTTTTGGGCTCTGATATAGAGTACTTATGATAAAAAACCACCAACATGGGATAGGTACTTAAACCCCTAAAAGCCAAAAAACTCCAATGTAACCTTAAGCCGACGCCCCTAAATACAAAAGCCCTACATACGAAGCCTTAAATACCCTAAACCTTAAAACTACTAAACCCTAAACCCTTTTCCGCAAACCCAAACCCTAAACCTTCTATCCTAAAACAAACCTATAAAAACTATGCCCCTATACCCTAAACCCACCCTAAATACTGAGCCCTAACCCCTAAAACCCTCAAAACCTGTCTCCGAAGACCTGAATGCTCGAGCTCCGGGCGTCAAAATCGGAGCTTTCAGGGCAGAGCCAAGTATGCTGAGTTTTGAGCCAAGAGGTCGGAGATCCCAAGTTGATGGCTGAGAAGCTTTTATGGGTTCTACTTACTCTTTTTAGGATCTTCATGTTTGTTTTTGCAGGTTTAATGTGTGCTTTATGCTTTTAGGGTGTTGAAGCATGCTTCTTTGTGTTGTCTTTATATGCGGGTTTTGCGGATTCAGTGGTTTAGTGAAGTTTTTGTAGAGTTTATGGTTTTCAGGTTATAGCGGTTTCGAGTTTGGCTTTCTAGGGTTCTATCTAGGGTTTGCTTAAGGGCTTCAGGGTTTAAGGGTTTAGGGTTTTGGGCGAGTGGGTTCTGCAAAGGGTCATATAAAAGGCTATTAAGGAACTTCCTACAAAGGGTTCGACAGGGGTTCAAGGCTTCAGAAGGGCTGAGAGCTAAGTGGGTGGTTGTCAAAATTATGGCCCCTTCTTGGCTCCTTACTATAATACGGCACCTAAGACTTAGGGCAGCCAAAAAGGGAAACCGTAAACCCTAAACCCTAAACCCCTAAACCCTAAACCCTAAACCCCAAAACCCTAAACCCTAAACCCTAATTTTGACCAACCACCCAAGTGGGGTCAAGAGCGTCTGTAGTTTATAGTCGAGGGCTCCGCTCTTCGAGAATCGCATGATTCGGTTGATGATATAAACCCTGGGGCTCCTTTAAAGGGATCTATAAGGGTACCTTTTAGGGTTCCTTTAAGGGATCTCTAGGGCTTAGGGTTAAGGCTGGTGATATAAATCCTGCACTACCCATAATAAGGAATAGGCCATAATTCCCATAGTTTAGGGTCATTAAGGTCATGCAGGATTTACTTCAAGAGACGGACAAAAGGAATGGGTTTATTCAAGAATGTAATCTAGGGGCCTTAATAATTAGAATAGTGTTCCTTTAAGGGTTGTTTAAAGGGTTCTATAAGGGATTTATCATAAGGATCTATGGTATAGGGGCCTTAATAATGAGAATGGGGTTTCGGGTGCCATTTTGCTATAATAAAATAAGGAACCCCCAAAATAGGATAGGTAATTATTAAAGCCAGTAGATTCGCCATTTGTCATGTCTCCTACCGTAGGAACCCATAGTGTGTACGCCAGTGGGAAGTGGGAAGAAGCAAAACCACAAGCTGTTGACAAGTTTGGCTTCGAAACGCTTTTTTCCGACGCTAGGTGCCTGAAACGCTGGGTTCTTCCCATGCTCGCAGGCACTTTTTTTGCGGGGCGGAACTCCCGGGAATAGACAGGGTTCGTGTTTGGTGTTTATTATGGGGCTTAGGGCTTGGGTTAAGGGCTTCGCTGGCCTAGGAAACTTCCAACACTTTTGCAACACCCCACAAGGGGTTTCCGGGGTTTGGGGGGCCGTATATCGTGGATAGCAAGCATGGCAAAGGAACAAGGATGGCACTTTAGGGTTTAGGGTGTAGAACTGTCGGTGTAGATTACTGTATATTGTACTATGATGACAACTACATCGAGACGACAGGGGGGAAGACAGAATGGTGAAGGAACACGGATGCAAACGGTAATCGAAGAATTAAATTCCGCAGCCTGACTGATCCTAGCAGTATCTCCTTGACCTAACTTCTGCTAGAACAAACCACCGGCACAGGAAGCGAACACGGATGACGGCGGTAACAGGCTTGAGTATTTGGGGTTTTGGGGGGTCTCAATGTATACGGCTTAGGGTTTAAGCACTTGTGGTATGATGTAGAAGTCGACACAAAGAACAAAACGAAACAGGAAATCGTAAGAAAATGTAAGGCACGTATATTGTACAATAATCATAATAAGGAACCCCCAAAATAGTACAGGTATTGATTAAGGCCCTACATCACGAAGGATTGCAAGAGGGATTCGAGGAGGCTCGAGCTCAGGGTGTTTTCAAGACGTGAACCCTCCTTGGGCCCTAAATCAAATCTTAAAACACCTTACTATAGGGTATTAGAATTGGGTCCCATTGTACTTTGATTAAAATAAGGAATCGCCAAAACAGTATTGGCTTTTATTTGGAAATGGTAAACTGTGGAGCGAAGGAAAGGGCCGTGACAAAGGGCGAATGATTTGTGACAGTATCGTCGGGTGATGTAAGGTGCCCTGTTGCATTTTGTAATCAAGCATTTACAAAGTTTGTATAGGGATTTAGCCAATTTTTTGGGAGCTTAGGAATGGATAGTAATCCTTGAAACATGAACCAACATCCACTTCTAGTCCCTTGTACCCTAAACCCTAAACCCTTATCAGTAAGCTGTGCTGTGCTTGGCCAAGAGCTCCGGAGGTCCCGCCTGGTGAAACGATGAGGCTGCGGAACGCATTCCGTCACCGCAGATGGAGCTGCGGTGCAGTAGGGCCTTTTGATGCCTGAGGGGTTTAGGGTTTAGGGCCTAGGGACTACGATGCTGTGTTACAAAAATGTCTTTTCTGGCTCTGGGGGATGAAGTGACTGGCTTGCCCCAAGCTTTGCGCTACGATAAGCTAGTGAAAATAGCATTGCTCGTTGGGTGTATACTAGAACAAGACGGAAACCTAAGTTCTGCGACACAGCCCCAAGATCAACCACAGGTCACTTTGCTGTGTTGTCTCTGCCTTCTTGGGCGAGCCCACCCTCCTGTCCGGCACACGGTACACCGGAAGAGAGGTTTTAGGGCTTTCAAGGGTTGATTATACTGAACTTAGAACCCTAGCAAAAATTATAATTTTAGCTAGCTGTCTCTTAGGGATTATAATAACCAAAAACTAAAAATTATTTCTAAGTACCCCTAAGTTGAGGGTTGAGGGTTGAAGGTTGAGGGCTTAGAGGAGGAGGGCTTAGGGCTGCTTAGCCGGAAGCATCAAGTGGGTTTTCATGCCTCCTCCTTCGGACTGCACACCCAAAAGCACTCCCGGTCACAACTGCGTTTTCCTTTGGTGGTGCTACGGCTTCGTGGCCCCCGAACATCTGCGCAATAAACGGCTCCCTCATATGATTTAAGGGATGCTTCTGAACCCTGGCAAGAAGGGATTAGGGTTCAGGTTTTAGGGCAAAAACCACAGCCATGCTCCCTTGGCCAAAACCGTCATCTTCATGTTCCGCACCCTGAACCCACCCAGAGATCCCAATATCCGTTAGTTAGGGAATATACCTTAAACCATACTAGGGATCCTACTAAAATTCAAGGTATATTCCTGAATTAAGGAGTATTGGGATCTCAAGGGAACGAGCACAACCCCCGGAAGTGCATCAGCGGCTATAGTAGCGGTCTGAATGCCGCCCAAGAAGACCCTGATCCGGTCCAAACCCTTAATTTGCGAATCCTTCTAAAGCCTGTAAGATACCTCAAAGAAACCCTCGAGTAACCCTAAAGAAACCCGAACTAAACCCTAAACCCTAAACCCGAACAAACCCTAAACCCTAAACCCTAAACCCTAAACCCGAACAAACCCTGATAAGGCCGATGTGGGCTTCCTTCAAATTTCATAGCCTGAACCTCTGATCCCCACAACCTTCCAGAGATCCCTCTAAGGAACCCTTTAGGGGATCCCAAAGAGCCCAATACCCCCCTTAATTAAGGAATATATCTCACAAATCGTTCTATGAAGCCCCTACTGATTTAAGGCATATTCCTTAATTCAGGGGTATTGGGCTCTCTGGGAACTCTAAAACCCCGAAACACTCTGAAAGACAGCTAACCAGTGGTTTTGGGGGCTCCATGGCTCTTTAGCTCCTTATCTAATAGGGATTATCATCATCCCTGGCTCCTTAGCTCCTCCAGTATCAATCAGGTACGGCCCCCATACAGTAAGAGTCTATAATCGGGCTATCATTAAGGTGCTACTATATCTGTATTATGAATATTACTCAACTATTACTGAGTGGGGGCCGTACCCAAAGTATCACTAAACCCTAAACCCTAAACCCTAAACCCTAAACCCTAAACCCTAAACCGTGGCTCCAAAAGCTCCAGGTCCTGCTCCGGCTGAAGGTCATCCACCGTCTGACGCAGAAGCGCCACGGTTGAAGCCAGGGTCTCAATCTTGTGCCTGAGTTTAGGGTTTAGGGTTTATATGGTTTATAGGGCTTAGGGTTTATAGGATTCATAGGGTTTAGGGGTTTATAGAGTTCAGGAGTTTCGGGCTTTAGGGTTTAGGGATTGGGGTTTAGGACCTGGGGTTCAGGGTTTAAAGGTCTTCCAGGGTTCGGGCTCCAAACAGAGTCGAGGGTGAGATGTGACAGGCCTCCCGCCTCATCGGGACCAGTAGCTGTAGCAGCCATGGCAGCTATGGTCTCCCGGAATGCAGGGAAGACTATCGACATGTCACCCCCGTCGTCTGTTGCGCCTGCCTTTGGGTCACAGCTCATTGCACCAAGGTGGCTGGCATCGTCAGCCTTTTCTTGCTTGGAATCAAACCCCAAATCCCAAGCAGTGGCTGCTGCGGTGGCCAGGCGCGGATCAACCTCTTGGCAGTGAAAGGGAAGGCCTGCCTCCTCCAGCCTGCATTGGAAAGCATGATAGCTCCCGTAATAAGCGGCCCACCAAGGGTTTGCGAAATCATCATCTCGCCATATGGTGTGCCCCATTTCACACCATGTATGCTCAACGTCCCGAGGACGGAGAAAGATAGGCCCGCTGAGTCCTGTTAAGCTCATCAACGGGCCCCACCAGGGGGCTAACGGATCTTGTGCCTGAGTCGGGTTGAAGGCGCTACTTATGTGTGTATATATATATATACATACATACATACATACATACATACATACATATATATATATATATATATACGCACATACCTCCCTAATCAAAGAAAATTGTTAATCTTGAGGTTGTATTTGAAGGGTCATGAGACTGAGTAACTGAAAGGGTTTCTTAAGGGACGCTGTAAGGGATCTTGTGCAGGATTGAGGGTTGAGGGGTGTCGGGCCTTCGGGTTCAGGGCTTATGGGTTCAGGCTAAATTTCGGGCTTAAGGGTCTTAGGCCTCAGGGTGTCAGGCTTAGGGTTTAGGGTTTAGGGCCTTGGGGTTATGGTTGGGGGTTGTAAGGCTCACGGTTTAGGGTTTCGGGGGTAGGGAAAGGGCTCCGACCAACCTCCACACTAGACTCTAAACCCCACCAGGAGGGCTTTGATGCGCGGAATAGGGCTTCCGGGGTATGTTATGGTAGAACTGTATAAGTACAAGGGACTAGAAATAGGGCTTCAATAGGGCTTCGGGGGTATGTTATGGTAGAACTGTATAAGTACAAGTACAAGGGACTAGAAAGGAAGAAAGTTACTAATCAAACTTAACCCTAAACCCTAAACCCGAAGCCCCGAACTCTTAACATGGCCCAGCGGCTCCCTGTCTTGGAGATGCACCAGCACATCCCTGGCAAAGGGTGCAATGTAGGAATCTGGAGAAGTACTTAGTACGCATATCCTCTTAAAAGCTCGATATAACCATATGTAGCTTTCCCCGAAACCCGATTCCAATGAGTTGAGCCGTCATACAGGTTGTAAGTAATAAGGTAACTATACCTATAACCCATATTAGGGGACTTATTCGAGTTTCTCTCCCAAACCCAGAGACTCCAATACCCCTTAATTAAGGAATATTCCTTAAATCATATTAGGGATCCTACTATAATTTAAGGTATAGGGCTGAGGATTCAGGGTCACTTCATCGTCCTTCACACGGGATATTGAAGCCTCTGGGTCGCGCGCCGTGCGGTTTTGGCCGGCTTGCAGGTTACAGGGCTGGGATACTGTTCAGCGTTTAGGGTTGAGGGGTGTAGGGTTGAGGGCTTTACAGGGTTTAGGGTTGAGGGTTTCTAGGGTTGAGGGTTGATGGCTTTTAGGGTCGAGGGTTGAGGGTTTCTGGGGTTTAGGGTTGAGGGCGTTTTAGGGTTCAGGGTTGAGGGTTGCGGGTTTCAGGGTTCACTATGCAACTGGATCAGTGTGATGTCCGCAAGAGCACTCACTCCTGCTTTGTTCCCACCACAAAGTTGTACCTCAGTCAGCGACTCGAGTTGCTCGCACTTCCTATCCGCGAGAATCTCGATGTTCTGATCCACCGGTGGTACGAACAAATTACCGTCCGCACGGTTGATAAATGCTGCAACGGAGTCAACACCAATCAAGCGCCTAAGCACTTCGATCTGCTCAGTTGACACAAATTGTTTCAAGCCGTTCATGCGTGAGCCACATGCTGTCAGCAAATAAGTGACGAACCGCGGTACCCTGCAGCTTTCGCTGGCACATCAAGATCATCTCCAATGTGGGTAGTTCTCAACAACAAGTCATCAATCGGCAGATTGGGCTCCCTCGCCAAGCGAAGTGCCATTCTAAACAATGTCTTATTCGACAGACCGTTGAACGAAACCGTTGCACGGATCCCAGAGGACTCGCCTTGCTCGACTTGTGAATCTCTTCGCCGAAGTGTATGACCCTAAACCCTTACCCCTAAGCCCTAAACCCTAAACCCTAACCCCTAAACCCTAAGCCCTAAACCCTAACCCCTAAGCCTTAAGCCCTAAACCCTAAACCGTGTAGGAGTTGGTTTGACACTGCCTGGCTTTCGGCTTTCGACTCAGCAGGTCGCCATTATGCAACTCGAGGGCTTTTCGGGTTGAGGGCTTTTAGGGTTTGGGTCGAGGGTTTTTCGGGTTTATGGTTGAGGGCCGAAGGCTTTGGGGGTTGAGGGTTGAAGGCTTGTAGGGTTGAGGGTTGACGGCTTTTAGGGTTGAGGCTTTGGGAGGGGTAGGTCTTCCACATAATCCATTTGTCGACACCCTGACCCTCTGCCGCCTCGATTCTGCCTGGTTCACAAGATGGCCCTTCTACCGGAAGGATACTGCATTGACCGCTCAGACGACTAAAACCTTAAAGCCCTTGCAACCCTTGCAGACATTGAAGAAAGAAAATACCCTAAAACTTAAACCCTACACTTTCGAAACTATGGAACCCTTCTACTACAACAGTACAAATCTAGAACCCTCACCGGAACCCTTGCAGCCCTTCTAACCCTTAAAGCCCGAAACCCTGAACCCATGCAGCCCAAAACCCATGCAGTGCTTTTAGAGTACAACTCCAGAACCTTGTAAGGTAAAACCTCAACCCTAGACTCTGGTAACTACTGTTGATGATATAAATCCTGCATTACCTGAAGGACCCTAAACTATGGGAGTTATGGTATATTCCGTATTATGGGTCATGCAGGATTTATATCATCAACCGTATGGTGCCTTTTCAGTACCCCTGCAGAAACCCTTGACCCTAAACCCTAAACCCCTAAACCCAAAAGCCCCTACTAAACCCCGAAACCCTAAACCCTAGAACCCGAGAACCCTAAAACCCTATTTCCCGAAACATCCCTTTCTGGAACCATTTAAGCATCCCCAAACCCTGTTCCCCTTTAGATCCGTTTAGGAACCCCCTTGCGCCTGGCAAGTGTCTGGTCTGCCTCCTCCAGCTTCCGCAGCCGACGTTGCAGGGCTGGCAGCGGTGCGACCTCGCCTGAGGTTTAGGGCCCGGGCTCCTCAAATAAGGATCTATGACTAGGAGGTGCTTCTAAAGCCGTTGAAACATATTAGTAGGTAAGAGCCTTTTCATCCCACTAAGAGCAAACATAAAATGTCCCAAAACCCTACTTAGATGAGGGATTTGCAACGGGATCTACAGGGGGGGAAAGGGGCTTTGGGGCTTAGGGTTTTGGGGTTAGGATTCAGGTGCGGTGCCGTCGCGTAAGGTTTCAATACGGGATAATAGGGGTTCTTTCAAGAGTTTCCAGGGACCAGGAGGCGGTTCTGTGACCGAGCGTTTAGGGTTTAAGGACTTGGCAAGTAGGTAATAAGAAGCGTTCTAGGTACCATAAAGGGGATCCTATAAGAACAGCCATAAGTACCATAAAGGGGATCCTAGTTGCGGTTATGACTTCGATGGGGGACTTAATAAGTGGGGTTTTGATACTGATGCTACGTCCCCCGAGCCTCCAAGTAGGGTGTAGGGCTGAGGGATACACTTCACGGAAGCGATATGCATTGCCCTCGAGCCCTATTCCGACTAGTAGGCCGCTGAGAGTGAGTGAGAGTCATTCCGACTGGCACCTTCATAATGAATTAAAAAGGCGACTATATGCGGCTAGTAACGCTACATGTTCCGGCAAGTATGTTCTCGCAGCAAGGGCAAGCAAAGGGGTTGCTTCGGGCTTCGGGTAAACGTCAAAGCCAAACTGGTCTGAAGTCAGGCAGGCTCGTCAGTTAGCCGTAGATTTTGCTCATCCCACTGGCCCGCAGTGTCCTCATGGCCTCCGACGCTTGGAGGTTCATGGGTATTGGTAGATGGGCTCATGTGTTATAAGTATAGTTACCCTACTTCTAACCCCACTCAGAACTACCCAGGAACCTCCAAGCATGTCAACTGGATCAACATCCAGAAGAGCGCAGAGGCACAGGAACCCGCATCGTCGATGTTGGAGATTTCGTGCGACTGCAAAGTCGAGAACTTCGGGGCCCTTCACCCTAAACCCTAAATTACTAAACCCCAAACCCTAAACCCCAAACCCCTAACCGCTAAACCCCAAACCCTAAATTGCTTGAGTTTGAAGCCCTCGATGTCAGCTTCCCTCGGGTCCTGCCGGGGAGTATCTGCCATCACATAATATAGGGGCCTTGGTAAGTTACAGTAGGGTGTCGTGGCCCATTCTGCTATCATTTTCATAAGGAGCCCCCAAACTAGTATAGGTAATTATTAAGGCCCTTATATTACAGAAAACCACTTGCAGTCTTAAAGGTCCCTCCCCCCACGAAGATAGGCAGGTCCGGTGGTCGATGTTTGTGATGAGTTGGGTTTAGGGCTGAGGGTTTAGGATTTAGGGTTTGGGGTTTAGGGTTTAGCATTTTTGGACCATCAGCAACCCCGAGCCCTGAACCCCTTGAGCAAGAAACCCAAACCTGCACAGCCTAAACCCCTAAGAACCCTAAACCCGAAATCCGAAACCCGAGTCCCAAAATGCAACAATCCAGCAAAACTAGACACACGTACACACAAGAGAAATGTTCATCGAACACTAATAAAACAAAAAAGGCACAAAGCTCAAAATCATCAAAGCTCAACAACAGCAATAACCCAAGATCAAGAACAGTTTCTCGGTTTTTCCGAAAACCCAGTTTTTCCGAACACCCTAAACCCCAATCCCAAAAACCCGAAAAACCCTAAATCCTAGCCCCTTAAAACATGGGAGTTTCCGAAAGTAGGGGATCCTAATATAGTACAGATATTAGTATCCTTATTATAAAGATCCCAAAATAAGGCACCCCTAATTTTCGGAAATCCCCAAATCTAGCGCCGCCTTTCCCCCTAAACCCTAAACCCTAAACCCTAAACCATAAACCCCTAAACCCTAAACCCCTTCTAGCACCCTTATAGCACCCTTATAGTACCCTTATAGTACCCTTATAGTACCCTTATAGTACCCTCATAGTACCCTTATAGTACCCTTATAGTACCCTTTAAAGGAACCCTAAACCCTAAACCCTAAACCATAAACCCCTAAACCCTAAACCCCTTCTAGCACCCTTATAGCACCCTTATAGTACCCTTATAGTACCCTTATAGTACCCTTATAGTACCCTTATAGTACCCTTATAGTACCCTTATAGTACCCTTTAAAGGAACCCTAAACCCTAAACCCTAAACCGCCCTCCCAAGGCCCGGACCTGGTTCTGGCACAACTCGCTCGCTGAGCTTTCGCACCTCGGCCTCCGCCAGCGCGCCAAGCCAGCTTAAAGGATCATGGGACTTAGTAAGGGTTCTTAAAGGGCTCCTTAAAGGGATCTATAGGGGTTCCTTAAAGGGATCTATGGGGTTTAGGGTTTAGGGTCTACTTAAAGGGTCATGGGACTTAGTAAGTAGGTTGTAATTGGGGTTATAAATCCCCTAAGTGGGACTATCCTAACCTACTTATAACCTTACTTACTAAGCCCCATGAGCCTTCAAGTAGCCTTCCTCAAATTCCTTGGAGGTTCATAGGTAGTTAAAAGCAGGGTTCCTTATTTGGGAGTTTCCCAAAATTAGGGGTAGCTTATTTTGGGGTCCTTATAATAAGGATAATCCTAAACCCTTCAACCCCTAAACCCTAAACCCTCAACCCCTAAACGGGATCTAGGCTTGGCCGTTTACAGCTCCTGGCCTAAGTATTCCTTATTTTCGGAAACGCCTTCAAGAGTGCGGGGAGAGGCTTTCGGGGGATCAGGTCGGCGGCTAAAGGCCATCTTCCGGCTCCGGACGAGATCTTTTAGGGTTTAGGGCTTGGGGCTGTTTTTATGCTTAGGGTTTAGGGTTGAAGGGTTGAGGGTTTGGGGCTGTTTTTAAGCTTAGGGTTTAGGGGTTCAGGGTTTAGGGTTGAAGGGTTGCAGGGTTGAGGGTTTGGGGTTGAGGGTTTAGGATTGAAGGATTGAGGGTAGGGTTTAGGGTCGAGGGTTTAGGGTTTAGGGTTTAGGGTTGAGGGAGGCCCACAAGTTGACTTCGTGACCTTCTGCAAATGCTCGGATCAAATATCAAGTTGGTGTCGGACGTGGGAAAAGCACAGTCCGTCCGAAGATCTAGGGAAAGGAGGCATAATATGAGGGGGTAAGGCTTCAAGTTCTGTCAACAGCCCCTCAACGAGCTTAACAAGACTTACGAAAGAAAATCTGTTGAGGGTTCTACAATTGTTACGGCATGGGGTTTGGGAGCTTCTAGTCTTAGATGCGTCTTCTTCCATGTCCTCTATATTAGAAAAATGACCCGCAAGGTAGGTTCCTACCAGTAGGTTTTCGTGGGGATCTAAGGGAGGACTGAAGTTTTGTGTCTAGGCAAGTCCTTTGGGAATTTAGTGTTCAGGGAGGTGGGGTTGCTATGGATTTCGGGGCTCAGGGCTTCAAGCGTCTTGGGCTAGGTCATTAATAGTGGGCCTTAATCGGTGGAATAGAGCCATATTCTAGGATGCCCAGTAACCTAGCAATATAGAGGGCTCCCTTTTTGGTATTGGGTAACTGCATAAGAAACCTACTTCAAGGCTCATGGGACTTAGTAAGTAAAGTTATAAGTAGGTTATAATTAGGATAACCCCACTTAGGGGACTTATAACCCCAATTATAACCTACTTACTAAGTCCCATGATCCTCTAAGTAGGCTTCGCTCTTGTGCTGTAAGGATTAGGACCTGGGGCTCGGGTGTCAAACATTGCAAGATGGGAGTTTCCAGAGAGAATTAAGGGAGCCTAATATAGTACCCCAAACAGTAGGATCCTTATTGTAAGGACCCCAAAATAAGGAAACTCCCATATTGGTGCCTTAGTCAGCCTTAGTCCCAAAGAGCTCAATACCCCGGAAGCAAGGAATATAGCTTGAATCATAATATGAAGCCCCTCATACGGCAAGGTATGCTCCTCAATTAAGGTGTATTGGTGCCTTAGTCATTAGTCTAGAACTGCGGTACATTGTAGTTTCATGATGCCGAATGCAGAGGCACGTTCCGTCCATCAACCCTAAACCCTAAACCCTTGGTAGGGCTTGGCCCTAAACCCCAAAACCCGACTCCTTGAGTCGCTGCCCTAAGCCCTGGCACGCAAGGATGCCTGTGACTCCGCGAGCACGTGCTGCAGATGGCTGACCTGCGATTCGACGCGGGTGGGCTTCTACTGATAATAAGGAGCCCTAGAAACCGGAAAGTCTGAAGCCCAAATTGCCCTAAACCCTGAACCCCAAACCGGAAAACTGCCCTAAACCCTAAACTTCTGACCCTATGAACCCGCAATGCCAAACTCTCCTTCAACTCTGTAAACACCGAAACAGTGGCCGCAGTAATTAGAATCGGGGTTTGTCGTATATGATAGTACAAGTATAGCAGGAACCTTCAGGAATAGTATTGCTAGCTGCTGAGGCTTCTATACTGAACAAACCAAAGTGATTGAAGTTGTGAGGGATCGAGTAGCTTTCGAGAATTCGGCTAGTGCTCCCAGAGACTCCGAAACCAATAGATTCAGGAACATGCCGACAATGAAACTGTGCAAAATCCCACAGACTTCTCTTAACAGGGCCTGTAAAGAAACCCCAACACCCTGAACAAGCCCTTACTGAAACACCTCTTTGACTTCCCTGATAACCTGAAGACCTTTAGAACAGCTCCCAAACCTCTTCTTACAAACCCAACGCCCTAACCCGATAGTTTTGGCATATGCATCATATCTATACCCTGTAAATATCCAATAAACTTCTGATAGCAGGCCCTCTACCTTTGCAACAACCCTAAACCCTAACCCTTAAACCCTAACCCTTAACCCCTAACCCCTAAACCTAAACACGAAACTCTAAACCCCAAAATGTTCCAAGAAGGGAACCTGCTCCGCTTTTGCAGCCAGCTCGACTTGGTGCACTGCCAGCTCCTTTTTCTTGGGGCGGGGAGGCGTTGGGCTGCCACTTGGAGGTTCATGGGTAGTTAAAAGTGGAGTTAGAAGTCCTCTAATATGGGTTATAAGTATAGTTACTCTACTTATTGTCCTACTTATAACTACCCATGAACCTCCAAGTAGGGCATTCTAAGACTTGCTCCTTCATAAGGGATCCTTCTGGATAGGGCCGTGACGTTGATTCGTTGTTCAGAGGTGTGTGGGGGGGTTTGCTTGCACATTTGGACCCATTTGACCCATGCCTGGTGTTCTCCTATTCAAACTCTGTACGGCGGTCCGTTCTGTTCTTCAACGCAGACATTGCTGTCTTTCTGTGGGTTGGGGGCTTGGGGCGTTTAGGCCTCGAGTTCTTAGAGGATTACGGTTCAGCGGTTAAGGCCTTTAGGCGTCCGGGAAAAATAAGGACTTTTGATGTGACCGAACAAAAAAACTTAATAGTGAATAGCACAGGGCTTACACGGCTAAGGGTGTTTGTCTGATTCCAGTTGTCCCCGCAGTTCTGCGATAGCCCTGATGATTTCGGATGATGGCTGCAGGTGTACTTAGAGGATCATGGGACTTAGTAAATAGGTTATAATTGGGGTTATAAGTCCCCTAAGCGGGGTTATCCTAACTATAACTTACTTATAACCTTACTTACTAAGTCCCATGAGCCTCTAAGTAGACCCTAAACCCTAAACCCCATATAGATCCCTTTAAGGAGCCCTATAGATCCCTTTAAGGAGCCCTTTAAGAACCCTTACTAAGTCCCATGAGCCTTCAAGTACCGTGCCCACGAAGGCCTCATGTTGGGTCCAGGGAGGGCTTTGCTCATCATCCATCGGTTTAGGGTTTAGGGTTTAGGGTTTAGGGTAAACGCCTAAACTCCCAAACCCTAGCTCCCAAATACCAAAGACCCAAACCCCCCCCCCCCCTCAATTCCTAAGCCCCAAGCCCTGAACCCTGAACCCTAAACCCTAAACCCTAAACCCTAAACCCTAGGGTGTTGGAGTTGAAGGTTTAGGGGTTTAGGGTTTAGGGTTTAGGGTTTAGGGTTTAGGGTTTAAACCGCAAGCACCCCTGAACCCTCCAACCTCCCAAAGCCCCACCGCCTAACATATTTATATGGGTGGTGTTTAGGGTTTAGGGTTTAGGGTTTAGGGTTTAGGGCTGTCAAAATTACGGTCTTTCTTGGGTCCTTAATCTAATACGGACCCATAATTTTGACAACTACCCTTATGTACAGTGTAGATACTGCAATACTCTGGCTTAGTATTCCATCTAGAAGATACTCTCCGAGCACTGCTTTGATTCTTCAAGCCAAACAAGGCCCCTATGCCTGTACCCCAAACCCTCCAAACTCTAAACCCTTGTTACAAAGCCCTTGAAGGAACCCTTAACGGAACCCTCCAACCTCTTCTGCCGTAAACCCTAAACTCTAAACCGTGGCCCTGTCATGGAACCCCTATATAACGGAACCCTAAACCCAATTTTGGCCGCTTTGAAACATTTAATCTAGTTCATGGCACATGTAAAATGTAACCCAGCTATGACAAAGTAATCCGCACCTTGGACATCGCCTCGTTCGCCGTGTCCATCGACTCTGCCGAAACTGTGCCATGCTTCACGCGCTCCTGTCGTCGGGCTTTTTTCTTTGTTGAGCACCTTTTTCCTCCTGCCCGAACTGTCTCAAGGGAGCCTGCCGTCGGGTTTAGGGTCCAAGGTTTGGGGTTGAGGCTTAGGCTTTCGAGTTTAGGGTTGAGAGTCGGGGTTGAGGGTTTAATATAGTAGGGGTCTTAGTAATTAGAATAAGGTCTTGGGGCCCATTATACTATCTTCATCATAAGGAACCCCGAAAATAGTATTGGCAATTATTTAGGCCCCTATATTATGGCTTGAGGTAGTTTATAGGGCTTTGGACTTTCATGTAGGCTTTGGGCTTTTGCAAGGTCTTCTATGGCCTGATATGGTCTTACAGGCTCAGGCACAAGGCTTAGGGCTAAGGTGCACGGTTTAGGGTCTCAAAGTTTGCTCCGAAGAGGTTCCGTATGGTCTTCGATGGTTACTTTTGTAAGTGTTGGGGGTTCAAGGCTGAGCCATGCAAGTTGCCCCCAAGGGTTCACAATGATTTACTCATGCCATGTTATGTTGTGCTTTTTGTCGGATTCGGTGGCTTCGTGAATTTCTGGTAGTCAGGTGGGATATTTGCAACATAGGAATCCTTCCTCCATACCTATCCTGAGACAGGAACAGAACGAGTCAGAGAGGGAGAACACATACAGGGGCGGTAAGGGGTTTGGGTATTTTGCAGTATGTAAAACACAGGCCGCAAGGGTGACCCTCACTAATTGTTCCCCAATCTAAACCCCTGCAAAGTCTCTATGAAACCAAATAAGTTGATGCGACTCCTTGTTATTCCTACCCTTTTGACAAATGGTGTAGACCCCTGATTGGTAGTAAACCCCTAGATTGAAAAGAGATTATAGTCGCAATGTATAGTAGGGATCCCAGGATTCTGGGCCCTGAACCCGAAACCCTACACCCGAAACTCCGCTGATAACCCTAAACCCTACACCCTAAACCCTAAATGAGCAGCTTCCCTGGCAGCCTCCAGCGCACGGAGCTCGCAGGTCACGGCCTTCAGGACACGTGGTTTCAGGCGTAGGGTTTAAGGCTCAAGGGGCTTAGTCAGTACTTGAAGGCTCATGGGACTTACTAAGTAAGGTTAGAAGTAGGTAATAATTCGATAACCCCACTTAGGGGACTTATAACCCCAATTAAAACCTACTTACTAATTCCCATGATCCTTTAAGTAGGATTATCATTGGGTGTAAGTGCCCTAAGTAGATTACCCTGACTACTACCTTATCTATGCCCGCCTTGACTAAGTCCCATGAGCCTGTGAGTAGGGGTTTAAGTTTTACGGTTTGCAATTTGGGGTTTACACTTCAGGGTTTGGGATTGAGGGTATTCGGGCTTTCTGTTTAGTCCCAGAACTTCTGACAAGAATGCCCGGAGTCATGATGCCACTAGTTGATTACCATAAGACTTATCTGCGTGTTCTGGGCTCTGTTCTAACCGACATCGAGGTTGCGATGCTAGGGATCTGCAGCAAACAAGAAGCTTCCTTTGATATGTTTGCTACGACACTTCGGCACTCAGTTCCTCAACCGAGGACCCTTTACACGACCCTCACAAACTGGTGGACAGCCATCACAAAACTAGTAGCACGAGTATTTGGGAGTTTCCGAAAATGGGGGACCCTAATATAGTACCCTAGATTAGATAGTAGGATCCTTATTATAAGGACCCCCCAAAAAAGGTACCCCTAATTTTCGCAAACTCCCATTTGTGGCAGTAGCAGCAGCAGCCGGAGGGCCGGAGGACCCACAGCAGCAGCAGCAGCAGTAGCCGCAGCAATGATACTTGGAGGTGCATGGGTAGTTATAAGGGTCCCTTTAAAGGGATCTGTAGGGATTCTATAAGGGTATAGGGTTTAGGGCCTACTGTTCATGGGTAGTTATAAGTGGGGTTATAAGTCCCCTAACATGGCTTATAACCATAGCTACCCTGCTTATAAGCCTACTTATAACTACCCATGAAGCTCCAAGTAAGCGGGGCACTAACTAGGGCAAGAAGCAACAGCAATGATAAGACCCAGCTAGGGCTTAGGGTTTAGGGTTTAGTACAAGAAGCAACTGCTTCAGTCGCCGAGTCGTTCTGGCGAGCCTGCCGCTCGTGGCGCTCCTTTTGGAGGTTCTCGCCGAGCTCCTGGCATGTCGTACTTGAAGGCTCATGGGACTTCGTAAGTAGGGTTATAAGTAGGTCATAATAAGGATCACCCCACTTAGGGGACTTATAACCCCAATTTTGACCTACCTTTAAGTAGGAGTAGGGTTGATGATATATATCCTGCATGACCCACAATAAGATATATACCATAATTCCCATAGACTAGGGTCCTTAAGGTAATGCAGGGTTTAGGGTTTAGGGTGGAATATACCATAATTCCCATAGTCTAGGGTCCTTAAGGCAATGCAACCCCAAGCCCCAAATCCTAAACCTTAGACCCTGAACCCCTCAACCATAGTTTAGGGTCCCCTATACCATAATAAGGAATATACCATACTAAGGAATAGACCATATATAATTCCCATAGGTTAGGGTCCTTAAGGCAATGCAGAACTTATATCATCAACCCTTAACCCTAAACACTATAGACCCCTTAAAGGAACGCCTTAAAGGTACCCTTATAGATCCCTTTAAAGGAGCCCCAGGATTTCTATCATCAACCGTAGGATACCAAGCAGGGTCCAGGGCCGAAGGCTTTCTTCCTCGAAGTTTGAGGTTGCACGTTCTTGAAACTATACCCCCCCTTAGAAACATAATGAAAATGATGTGCTTAATCTTCTCTTGGGTTTTATATGAACAAACATAAAAGAAATAATTCCTGAGGAGACTATAGTAAACTCTAGGGTTTAAGGTCGATAGCCAGCAGCAACCAAACTCGACGAGGCAGACATCTCGAACCCCCAAAAACCCGAAACTCAGAGACACCCGTCCTTCTTTCCGAATAACAAGACGCGCCCAAGACCCCTCCAACGGTTTAGAGTTTAGGGTTTAGGGTTTAGGGTTTAGGGTTTGAAGAACACCGGCCAATTCACAGAGGATCCTGAACATGAGTTATGACGCGTTTCTTCTTGGAAAAGAGCCTCGATGGGATTCCTGGAAAGACCCCGAAGCCTCTCCTGGAACCCAGACAAAACCGCTGACAACCCTGCAACAACCATCTGACCCGGACCCTCACTCTGCAAAAACAAAATCCTACACCCCCCAAATCCCAAAACTCCTGCACCCCAAACGAATTGACCCTTGAACACGTAAATTTTTAACCCCTCCACACTAAAGACTTGACACTCAAGACCCTTTACGGAATCCCCAACCGATACAAGACACTGATCCTAAAAGTACAGCCCTAGCCTTAACCCGAAGCCCCCCTCAACAAAAATCCTAAAACCAAACAAACACAAAGCCTATATAACAGCCAAAGTACGAATAACAGTAGCAACAGTAATGGTAATCGTAGTAGCCGCAATAATTAGCGAAAACAATAATGTAATTAGTAACCCAGTTGCAACAAGAAACACAACGATACTAGCCGTCATAATAACTTTAGAACACATCTACGCGAACCCTAGATCGGAAACCCTAAACCCCTGAACCCAACAAGACTAACTCTAGACCACCTACAACCCTAAACCCCTAAACCCTAAACCCTAAACCCTAAACCCTAAACCCTACACCCTAAACCCCTAACCCCCTAAACCGTAAACCCTAGACCCTAGACCCCTGACCACAAAACCCTAAACCCCTAAATCCTAAATCCTCAAAACCAAACGACTCCGAACCCTAAAGCCCTCAAGCCCTCAAGCCCTGAGTCCTACATGGGAGTTTCCGAAAATTAGGGGTATCTTGTGGTCCTGATAATACGGATCCGATGAAATTTGGGGTACTATATTAGGGTCCCCTGTTTCCGGAAACTCCCAAATCCCTGAAATCTCTAAACCTGCAAACACTGAGTCACTGCCCCTTAATTAAGCAATATACCTTAAAAATTAGGGGCTTCATATTATGGTTTAGGCTATATTCCTAAATTAAGGGGTAGTGGGCTCTCCAGGTCCCCTAAACCCTAAACCCCTAAACCCTGAACCCCTAAACCCTAGAACCCCTAAACCCTCAAACCCCTAAACCCTCAAACCCCTAAACCCTAAACCCTACACCCTCAAACCCTAAACCCCTAAGCCCCTAAACCCCTAAACCCTAAACCCTACACCCTCAAACCCTAAACCCCTAAGCCCCTAAACCCTAAACCCTACACCCTCAAACCCTAAACCCCTAAGCCCCTAAACCCCTGAACCCTAAACCCTACACCCTCAAACCCTAAACCCCTAAACCCCTAAACCCCTCAACCCTAAACCCTCAACCCTAAACCCTACACCTCTGAACCCTGGGCCTGGATTTGCCTTTCGGATTCCTTGAGCCGGGCCTCCTGCCGAGAAGATGCTGTGGGCTTGCGGAGGTGTAGGGTTCGGGCTCGGGGTTCTTTGAGGCTTCTATAAGGGTTCTATAAGGATGCTTTTAAGGGTACTATAAGGGTACTATAAGGGTACTATAAGGGTACTATAAGGGTGCTAGAAGGGTGCTAGAAGGGGTTTAGGGTTTAGGGGTACTATAAGGGTAGGTTTAGGGTTTATAGGGTTTAGGGTTTACGGTTCAGGGTCTGCATCTGGGTTTAGGGTTCTTCGGGCTTCGGGTTTCGGGTTTCGGGTTGCGGGTTCAGAGTTTCGGGGTTTGGAGTTTAGGGTTTGGAGTTTGAGTCATAAGTAATTACCTTAAGCTGGCGCTCCTTTAAAGGGCTCTGGGGCTTGATGGGGTCTCTCAGGGATAGGGTGATTCGGTGTCATGGCTAGCAGGAAGATTGGCTATACGTATGTTTGCAAGGGCTGTATAGGGGTCTTGCTTACCCTCAGCCCAACCCTGCACCAACTCGACTCCTTCAACTGTTGACAAAATTTTTTAAAAAGAGCAGATACCTTACCTTCGCGCGACGCGACCCAGGAGGGTTGCCGCGAACCAGGCGAGGAAAATCCAGGAAGTGTACTATGGGGGCCTGAATAATTAAAATAGGGTTTGGGGGACCAGTATATTATAACTATAATAAGGAACCCTCAGAATAGTATCGGTATTTATTCAAGCCCCTATAGTACACTGCTGGCCCAGCCATAAAGATGAACCCGAAACTTGAAACCATAAAACCTGCTTTCCAGTACCAACCCGCCAGATAGATCCGTCTCTCGCAACCTCTAAAACCCAGAAACGTTTAGGGTTTAGGGTTTAGAGTTTAGGGTTAACCAGCATCAGAAACCAAGTTAAACAAACAGGCTTGACCCCATTCATAAAAACCCTTGAAGAACCTGATACGACTCCATAAAGCCGTCCACAACCTAAGCCGTAAAACCGCTCAAAACCCCAAACTGAGGGCTTGCATTCTACTATGCGATACTACAAGGTTTTAATTTCATCAATCGCCTTAGTCTTATCTTACTTTTTGTAGTTTGGTTATTACTACTATTACTTCTACTGCAATCTTGTTAGTAGTATTATTGTTACGACTTCTACTATTGCTGTTATTGGAGATATGATGAAACTTGAGGTTTCTGTAATCCTAATCTTAGTCTTACTAATAGTCGTATTCTTATTATATAACTCTTATTATATAACTTGAGAGATATTATGAACTTAAGGTTTCTGGCTGCTCCACTGCTGCAGTCTCCTGGCCGATAAGCCGCCGCTCCGCATCGGCGCGGCTCATGACCTATGTGGGGCGCTGGGTGGGGGGTTAGGGGTTTAGGGGTTTAGGGGTTTCAGGGTTTAGGGTTTTAGGGTTTTAGGCTTGGGGGTGAAGGTTTTAGGGATTAGGGTTTGGGGTTTTAGGGCTTAAGGTGTGTATACAGGCACTCACGCGCGGTGGGTGCGGCTTTCGGCTTTTACTTAAAAAAATCCGTGCGCGCCCACCAATCGCGCGCGTGCGGCAGGGTTCGGGCTTTGCTCGTTCTGCGGTCCTGGGATCCCAGGTTGAGATCACAAACCACAGGATCACTGAACAACGCTCAAACAGGGTTTAAGCTTTCGGATTTTAGGCCAAAATTAAAAAAACTGATAAACCCAGAGTAATGAAATGAAATGAGATGAAATGAATAAAAGCCCATCCAACATCCATGGAGGACTGGATTATGGAAAGGGCTTGCGTGTGTGACCTCAGTTACCTTTCCAGACTAGGTAGGGTCTGCAACCATCCGTCACAGATGGTGTAGTCCGAAACCGCACTCGAGTTCGCGGGACAATGGTAAAGCTTTGCGTAACTGCTCGTCAGGGGGGGTCTGTTGGTCCCTGGGGTCCAGAGGGCAAAGGGGCCCGTGGGCTTGGAGACCGCTTAGTGCGGTCCTTTGCGGCAGGTTGTCCAAGTTTTTGTCGTTCTCGTAAGGCGTGAGCTCCTCCATGTCGACGATGAATTCTGACCCGAGGATATTAGAGATCCAAGCAGGTGAACGTGGCGATGATCTGGGCGTGCGACGGCACGACCCGGCTCGAGAACCTTCTCGTTGATTGGCACTAGATCAAGGGTGGTCTCTTGACAACATGCTCATGGATTAGGTGTCACGTCGAAAGCAGCCCACAAGCTCAGCAAGAAGGCTCAGACTTTCAGTTTCGGAGGGGGGTGATAAGCATCCACAACATGTGCATTCCGCAGTACAATCAGTGAGGTTCCTCCACCACGTTGCTGGCTCGGGCGCCGGAGCTCCCTTGTCTTACAGTCGAGACCTCTTTAACGGGGTGTGACAAAAAAACCAAGCCAGAAACCCAAACCTCATCTCCTAAACCTTTCAGAACCTAGCCCGTTAGAGCTAGTGAGGGCCTCTTGTCTCCAAACAAGAACAGGTCGCCCTGAAACGGTGCGGGGTTTAGTGCTCAGGGCTTGAGGCTTAGTAACTTTGACGCCGCTTGTCCTCCCTGCCCAGCTTATCCAGAGAGCCCAGTATGCCTTACATGACAAGCTTTGATTGAACACGATTAGGGATTGCCCTGTTGTCCTAGGAATGTTCCTGAATACCTAGACCCTAAACCCTAATCCCTATCCTTTATCGATTGATATTGCGCTCCCTGGGTGTATCGGAGGACGGCTTTCCCTGACAAACAACCCTATAGTAGGCCGTTTACTGACACTCATATTACAGTAACCTCCTGATGACTCGTATCACAGTAGCCATTAGTAACCCTAAACCCTAAACCCTAAACCTGCGACCCTGGTAGTGTGCCCTGAGAGTAGCTGATGTGGATCGGCTTGGAAGCCCCTCGGGTGTTGCTGAGATCCACACCTTCTTCTGGGACTTCATGGCGTCCTGGGCCCAGGCGCTTTGGCAGTGAGGTGTTCCAGTTTAGGGTTTAGGGTTTAAGATGTTGGTTTCGGCGTGGGTTGTTGTTCCAAGTTTTTCTAAGCGAAACCCCTAACTGATTTCAGTGCTATACCCTCACTCCCAATTTGCGGTTATTGGTACTTCGACCCCGGCGTTAGGCTCTCCGCCCCTGTTTTGCATATTATACAAACCTCGCAAATTTCCAAAATTGCTGCCAGGACAATTCTTGTATTGTTGTTACAATGAAGGGTGTAGGGCTCCAGACACAAAGGATAAAAAGAGCAGTAGAAAAACCCAACAATTCAAATTTGGGGCTTAGAGCTTTTAGGGATTTCAGGGTTTAGGGTTTAGGGATTGATGGTAGCAGTGCGGCTGAAGAAAGTAGTGATCACAGCCATATACCACTACATGCTCCAAACTCCATAACTACAATTTCGCTGACCAGCTGCAACCATAGAAACCCAATGAGACCATTGCCTTTAAACCCTCGTAGCAGTACCAAGCCCTCGATCCCAATCCAAAACCAAAAGCCTAAACCCTGCACCTTAAACCCCAAACCCCTGAACCCCTCAACCCCTAAAACCTAAACCCATACAGACCCGCATGCATCGCCCATAAGAACTATCGATATCTTTCGGCATGCCGAATTGAACCTTATTCGACCCTTACCCAAACCCCTTAAAGCCTTAATGAACTGTGTAGCATCCCTTCAAAAAAAAATCCCTCTAAAAGAACCCTGAAACCCTTCCTTCGATGACCCCTAAACCCTAACCCCTAAACCCTAACCCCTAAACCCTAACCCCTAAACCCTAACCCCTAAACCCTAACCCCTAAACCCTAACCCCTAAACCCTAAGCCCTGAACCCTAACCCCTGAACCCTAAGCCCTGAACCCTAAGCCCTGAACCCTAAGCCCTGAACCCTAAGCCCTATGGTGGGCCTCCAGGTCTGCGAGGCGGATCCGCAACTTCTCGCGGTCCCGGCGAGCAGAGAGGAGCTCCTCTTAGCGCCAAGGGTACAGGGAGGGACCCTTAATAAGGTCCCTTTAAAGGGATCTATAGGGATTCTATTGGGGTATAGGGTTTAGGGGTTTGGGGGTTTAGGGGGTTTAGGGTACAAGGAGGGACCCTTAATAAGGACCCCTAGGTCTATATCCTTAATACAGCCATTATATACCCATTATATATCCCATTATAGGGTAGGGGTCCCCATTAAGGGTCCCTCCTTCTCCCCTTTGATTGTTTTAAGATTTTAGGAGGACCTTGCAGGGCTTCCTTAAAGGGTTCCTTACATGATTCCAAGGAGCTCCTCGCGGCGGTGCTTTTTAAAGTTGGGGAGTTAGGCCTTGGGGTTTTGGGTGTTCGGGTTTTTGGGGTCGTGGTTTGGGAATTGGGATTTTGGGGGGGGTATTCTAGCGGTTTGGGGGCAGTGGGGTTGTTGGGTGTTAGGGTTTGGGGGTTTTAAGGTTGAGCTATGAGGGTTCCAATTGTTGGGCACTGGTTGTTGCAGGCTCCGGGTTCGGGGTTCAAGGCTGTACTTGAAGGCTCATGGGACTTAGTAAGTAAGGTTATAAGTAGGCTATAATTAGGATAACCCCACTTAGGGGACTTATAACCCCAGTTATAACCTACTTACTAAGTCCCATGATCCTCTAAGTAGGGTGTCGAAAACGACTTGGGTTCGGGCTGGGTTCACGGCTCCTCATTTCGATCTTTCACGAGGCCGCAGCCCCCATCTTACGTGCCCGGCACATGTCACATCCCGAATGCACATCCCAAACAATGGCAGAGGTGCACCGAAACAGTACCAAAGCTTGATCCTGAACTTCCCAGCAAGATCCCAAACCCTACACCCCACATCCTGCCGTTGGACCCAATACCAAAACTGTGCTGTGTCCTGCAGCTGCGTATCCCGTTCTTCGAGAAGCTCGCCCAGCCCCTCGGGTGTTCAGGTTCAGGTGCAGCGGTCGGGACAGCTTATAAGGGCCTGTCTTAATTGTCCTGCGTTATTTAAAGAACTGACAGGTCACCTGTGACGTGTGTTGGGGATATACTACCCCAACAAAGGTAAGAAAGGCGACCAGCTCTTCCGGTTCGATGGCTTGGGTTTCGGAACCTGTTCTTGAAGGTTCGCGGGGCAATTGAGTTAGAGGCTGGGCTTGGGCGGCTCAATTTGAAGACTCAAACCCCAAACACCCGCAAACCTCAGCAAAAGGCTTGACCCACTGTGTCAGACAGCACCACTACATAGGTCCGCTGAGTCTGAAGGCCGGAGCCAGCCTTAAAGCCTGGCCCGGGAGATTACAAAGAGAAAGACTGATCTGCAAGCCTCAAAGAACACCCCGACGGCGCAGAACTTAGCCGCAGGAGTATGCCCTGCCCCTCAAACTCCCAACCACCCCATCCTTTAAGGAAATGACATGAGAATGATGTCACCCCGACACCCCCACACCGCTTCAGCTGAATCCCTAAGCCCCCTCACCCTTTGCCTGCAATCGCTCCGTCTGCTTCTCCAGTTTGGTGTCCTCATGGGATTGCCAGAGTCGAGCAAGCTTGAGAGAAGTTCATAGAATCCTAACAAAACCCCTGCGGATCCTTATAGATGCATAGAACCCTTAAAGCACCCTGCCCAGCAGGAAACTTTACCGGAACAGTATAGAACAACCTAGACCCCAAACCCCACATCCCTCAAACGTAAACCCTAAACCCGATGCCGTTGAGAGCAGAATCAAAGGACCGCCGTTATAGAACCCTTACGATGAACCATTACAGGAACCCGAAATAACACTAGCAGGACGAAAGTTCGTCGCACTCGCACATCTCGGTCTTGAATTCCGGCCGGTGTTATAGTCCACTTATAGTAATATAAACGTGTGTTCCCGTGGACTACATTCCTCCACTAGCCAGGCCACGTACACCGCACTTTTGGATACTCCACGTTCTCTGCATGATCCCATAGGCAAGTGCCGCAAAACTTTAATCCTGACCATGTAGGAACCCTATCGGTAAATCCATAAACCGAACCCTATAGACCCTAAACGCTAAGCTTTAAACCCTGAACTTTGTAGAACCCCTGCCAAGAAGCCTCATAAAAATTCCGAAAACGCAAGAGTCCTTAACTAACCAGTGGTTTTGGGGGTTCCATGGCTCTTTAGCTCCTTATTTAATAGGGATTATCATCATCCCTGGCTCCTTAGCTCCCCCAATACCAATGGTTGGCCTAAACCCTAAACCCTAAACCCTAAACCCTAACCCCTAAACCCTAAACCCTAAACCGTCCTTGGCCTTGAGCTGCTTCCTCAAGCCTTCGATGGCGCGTCGCACCTGCCAGCTCGGGTTCCCGGAAGACTCGGAAAGCCCTAACAGGCCGCGGTTTAGGGTTTAGGATTTAGGGGTTTAGGGGTTTGGGGGGTTTACGTAGGAGTTTAGGGTTTAGGGTTTAGGGTTTACGGGTTTAGGGTTTAGGGTTTTGCTAGGACGTAGTTTTGGGGCCCTTCAAGGTATTTTTTGTATAGGTACCTCTAAAGGAACCACAAAAGGACAGTGGAAAGTTTCCCAAAGTGCCACCTAGTCTAGTGAGGTTTGAGGTTTCGGGTTGAGGATTCAGACTCAAGAATCCCCACACCCGGGGCCTCTAAGAATTCGAACAGGGTGGTGAGGGTATATACTTTCGAAAAAGATGAGGAAGTATGCAGACCTCCGATTTCCAGCATATTGCTTAATCAAGCTCATATTCGACTCTTTATGGGTCCGATCCGAAACAGCTGAGGTTGTACGGTTGATGATATTAAATCCTGCATTACCCATAATAAGGAGTATACCATAATTCCCATAGTTTAGGGTCCTTAAGGTAATTCAGGATTGATATCATCAACCGTAGGAGTTTGGGGATTCAGGGTTTTGGGATGAATGGTGCCCCCCTGAGTGACGGGAGTACCGGCGTCGTGCTTAACGAAGGGGTGAAAGTGCACGTAGACGCCCTCTTGGCCCGAAAAACGCCAGCAACGGTTTGAATAACTCCAACGGAACAATGAAAAGTCATTTTTTGAGGAAACACCGGAAAAAAAAAAAAAAAAACCTCTAACACCCACACTAAAAAATCAAACACACCCCTCACAAACAATCAAACTCCCAACCCCCAAAACGCGATGTCCATTAAAAGAAGTACAAACCTCTAATCCTCAAGACCCTCACTCCTTCAAGGTATTGCAGCGACGTCCTAGACCCCGAACCTTACAAATTAAGGCCTAAACCCCCCCAAACCCGAAACCCTAAACCCCAAACTCTAAACTCTATATCATTAAACCCTGGACCTTGAAATTCTACGCCCTTACACCATCAACCCACAAAACACTTGCCTCGACATCCTCCATGGGCTTAGGACCCAGGGGAGGTAGGTACACCCTCTCGACGCCCGGCTTCACTTTCGGCGCGGTGTCCGGCTCGCCTTTACGGCTTTCCGTGCTTCGCGGGCTTTACTTTTGAAGTGTAAGGGTTCAGGGTTTAGGGCTGTGGGGCGGGCCTTTAGAGGCAGGCTGTTGAAAAAAATGCGAAGTGTTACTGGGTTGTGCTTTAAACCCTTTGAAAATTATTTCTGAATAGGTTCCCTTTATAAGGAAATAAAGGAAATTAAAAATTATCCGAAAGCACAACCCAGGGTATGGTCCCTAAACCCTAAACCCTGCACCCTGAACCCTACAGGCTACGCCCTCGACCCTAAAGCCCTTCTCAAGAGTTTGAAAGGGTGTTAAGGGATGGGCGGCCTTTCGTGTAGGAAACCCGAAACCACTGAACCCCTACAGTAGACGGGTCTATAGTAGGAATTAGGGTTTAGGGTTTAAGAATTAGGGTTTGGGAATTAGGGTTTAGGAATTAGGGTTTAGGTATAGTAAGCCCCATAAAGTTGGAAACCGGGTTAAGGCCAAACAGTGCTGGGATTCCCTCACTTAAGGATTGAGGCTATGGGGTTTCCAACTTTTGCGCTTCTACTGTAAGCTTCACACGCTTACGGCTTTGAGGGAACTTGTTCCTGAGCTTTGGGCGTTAGTGATTCAATGGCTTTGGAGTTTGACGCTTCTGGGGCCCGTTGGGCATTTAAGGCTCTGGGCAAAGGGTACCAGCTGGCTCCTGCACATGCCCCGAAATAACCCTCGCTGCCCTAAATCCTGAAAACCCTAAACCCTAAACCCTAAACCCTAAAACCTAAACCCTAAACCCTGAACCTCAAACCCTAAACCCCCAGGCCCTAAACCCCAAAAGCAAACACTAAGTCACTAAGCCCTAAACCCACATGGGAGTTTCCGAAAATAGGGGACCCTAGTATAGTACCCTAAATACTAGGATCCTTATATGAGGACCCCCAAAGAAGGTACCCGCAATTTTCGGAAACTCCTAAACCCTAAACCCTTTATAGAAGCCTTATAGATCCCTTTGAGGAACCCTTAAAGGATCCCTTTAAAGGTACCCCTAACTTTCGGAAACTCCCACATAGTAACCCTTATCGAACCCCGGATTAAAGCCAACCACTGGAGCCCAAACTCCGAACTGAAAAGCCGCAATCCCCGAACGCAATGGAACTACTTGGAAGGGCAGGGGACTTAGTAAGGGCTCTTAAAGGGCTCCTTAAGGGGATCTATAGGGTTCCTTATAGGGATCTATATGGGGTTTAGGGTTAAGGGCTTATATAGTCTGCAAAATGTGTGCAGCGGCCTTAACAGCTACAATAGGGTTCATTTGAAAGGCTTCCTTTAAGGGTTTACTTACAGAAGGGTTGCCGCTCTCCAGAAGTGCATGGGTTCCTATATCAAGGGATATCGGGTATCAAGGCCTTAATAACTAGAATGAGGTTTTGGGTACATTGTAACACAGTTATTGAGGAACTCTAAGGGGAACTTTTGTTCCGGACGCGTCTATTGCCCATGAAGCCCATGTCACGTTTTAACCTTGAGATTGCGTAGTAACACTTCCTAACTAACGTCTACAAGGTTAAGCAATCTGATGATTTAGCTGCATAAAAAATGAACCTGCTTAATCATTGGTGTCAGATAATAACTTACCTAAAAAAATTCCACTGCTATGCATTGTACTAGTTTTATCGAACTGAAAATTTTTTGACATTACGGTAATGAACTTATCAACCCATAGCTGGAACATGGGATTATGACAATCGTCATTATTGCTATTAAACTAACTTTCCTTTCCTGTTCTCGTATACTTAAATAGGGACATTAAAGGGATAAGATCACTGATCATAACCCTAAACCCTAAACCCTAAAGCCTACAGCCTAATGCCTCTATGTTGATCCCAAAGCTGGGGTTTAGGGTTTGGGTTTTGAGGTTTAGGGTTTGTGGGTTCGGGATTTATTTTTAGGGTTTACGTGGTGTTTTTTTTAGGGTTTAGGGTTTAGGGTCCTACTTTTGCCGATCCTGCCTTTGGCCAGCAGCTCTGTCAGCCGGTCCAGCTCCACTTGTTTCTCCTGCTCACAAGGGTTCCTTGAAGGTCTTTTTTCAGTGTCCTTCTAGGGGTTAGGGCTAAGGACTTTGTGATCTGTAGGGGCCAAAAAAAGCAGCCCCCACACTAGGAGCACTCAAGGGTGTGTGGTCCTGCAGTTCCCTGAGCCCCAAACCCCAAACCCTAAACCCTGAAACCCAAGCCCTAAACCTCAAAACCTAAACTCAGAACCCTTAAACCCTTAAACCCCAACCCCGGTCCTTCAGCTCCCGATTCAGGGCCTCGATGGCGGAGGTCTGGTGCCGGATAGTCTGCTCCCGACCTCAGACGGGTTCCGTTCGTAGAGCCTACCCAGAGACTCCAATATCCCTTAAGTAAGGAATATACCTTAAACCATACGAGGGATCCTACTATAATCTAAGGTGTACTCCTTAATTAAGGGACATTGGAGTCTCTGGGTACCCTAAAGGTGCCTTTAAAAGGGTAGGGTTCCTTTCAGGGTTCTTTTTAAGGGTTCCTCTCAGGGTTCTTGTTAAGGGTTTCTTTCAGGGTCCCTTTAAGGGTTATGTTTAAGGGTTCGTTTAAGGGTTCCTTTGAGGGTTCGTTTTAAAGAGTTTCTTTAAGGGTTTCGTTCAGGGTTCTTTTTAAAAGGTTTCTTTACGGGTTCCTTTCAGGGGTTCTGTGTAAGGGTTTCTGCAGTGGTTCCTTTCAGGCTTCGTTTTTAAGGGTGTCTTCAAGGGTTCCTTTCAGGGTTCTTTTTAAGGGTGCCTTTAAGGGTTCCTTTCCTGGTTTTTTCAAGGGTTCCTTGAAGGGTCCTTTTTCAGGGTTCCTTTTAAGGGTTCCTTTCGGGGATCATTTTAAGGGTTTCTTTAAGGGTTCCTTTCAGGGTTCTTTGTAAGGGTTCCTTTAAGGGTTCCTTTCAGGATTCTTCTTACGGTTTTCTTCAAGCTTTCAAGGTCCTTTTTAAGGGTTTCTTTAAGGGTTCCTTTCAGGGTTCCAAAGGGTTCCATAAAGCTAGTCTTTGCTTGGAGTGTCGACTTAGCAAGCAGTAGCAAGTACAGTTATGAACACCCTACATGGGATCACATTTTGGGGTTATGACACTAGAATCTCTATAGTGCACTTACCCAAACACGTACTTGAGGAACAGATCTGTAATCATATTATGGCTCCTACCATAACTTGAGGGATGCTCCTTACTTCGGTTGTTTTGGAGTCTCTGGGTACCTGGACCCTAAGAAGCCTACGCTTATAGGGCCTCCTTCTGATCCGATTTATGTGAGTCCGTAGAACAGGTCTCAGAATTAATACTTCTGGAGTTCATAAGCAGGTACTTAAGGAAATCCTTATACAGAGCCCTGACCAAAACAAAAGGATGTAAGCCCTCAACCACGTGTTTTGCCGGTAGCTCCCTTTCAGGGTACCTATGGGGTTCTATAGCAGGGTTCCCTTTAAAGGTTCCTGAACCCTAAACCCTGGCTTAGGGTTGGATGCTCTGCCGGCCTTGGATGGTCTCTTCGGTCTCTTTGCAGAGGGCCTCGTACTCATCTTTGGACTCCCGAGTCCTGGGCACCACTTCAGAGACCCTAAGACCCACCCCAAACCTCAACCCGAAACCCTTCTAGATCCTTTTCTATTAAGACATCTTGGGCCTTTACTAGGGTTCCTTTAAAGGGGTCCATAAGGGCTACTCTAAGGGATCCATGAGGGTACTATATTGGTGTAGGAGGTGTAGGAACCTGATCAGGACTAAGAAACCTTGGGCCTTTATTAGGGTTCCTGATATAGATCCTACTATTTTGGGGTTGTAGGCCCAGGGTTTCTTAAGCAGGTTCCTACGTTAGTAAACACGAAAAAAGCATTCGGATTCAGGGTCTAGGCGATTTGGAGTTTAGCACCCGGGTTCCAGCGGTTTAGAGGTTAGGGCTCCGAGTTCGCCAGCATGGTTATGCTGGAAATCCAGACATTTGGGTGGGAAAACAAATGGGTGGTTGTCAAAATTAGGGTCCCTTTTTGGGTGCCTACATATTACGTGCCGTACTATAATAAGGACCCAAAAAACGACCATAATTTTGACAACCACCCAAATAGAAAATGCAGAATTTGAGATATTGCGTGCATGCACCTGAAAAATGCAAGAATCTATATATTTGGACAAGCAGCAGAGGAAATCCGGTAATTTGCACGTGCACGCACCTGTAAAATGCAAACAACCACATATTTGGACGAAAAACGTAGCCCAACCAAAAGCTAACTAAACTCAGCTGAACGCTCCCAAGAAAGGCCCTGCGTTGCAAGACGGGCCGCGTCTCCGCAAGCTTCTGTTCAAGGCTCTCCTTCTTCTTGCGCTCCACCTTCCGGGCTTTCGGCAACTTTGCTGTGACATTTCGGGGCTCCAAGTTTAAGGCTCAAAGTTTTGGGGGTGTGCGGATTTAGACCTGCTATTAACCCGGCGAGCAGGCCCTGAGACCCTGACCCTTAAATCCCCAAACCCTAACACCTGAAGCCCTAATGGGAACTCCAGAAAGTTGGAGTATGGATTAATGGTAGGATCCCCTATAATTTACCTTAAAGGGGTTACGATAATGATATTCCAACTTTCTGGCTTCTACTGTAAACCCTCATTCTTAATTGAACCCCAAACCCTAAGACCCTGAGACCCTAAAACACTGAGACTCTGAGACCCGAAACCCTAAGTCTCAAACCCCCAAACCCTAAATCCTAAACGCTAAACCCTAAACCCTAAGCCCACAAACCTTCAAACCTTTATAGAACCCTGAAAGGGATCCTTATAGAACCCTTAAAGGAAGACCCGAAATCAAACGCCGCCGCCTAAACCCTCAACCCTAAACCCCCTGAACCCGGAACCCTAAGCCCTACACCCTGCACCCAACAGAACCCCAAACCCTAAACCCTGAATCCTGTTCTATAAACCCTAAACCTACCCTTAAAGTACCCTTATAGAACCCTTATAGTACCCTTGTAGAACCCTTACAATACCCATATAGAACCCTTATGAAAGCCTTATAGAAGCTTTAAAGAAGCCTTAAAGAACCCTTATAGTACCCTTTGTCGAACCCTTATAGAAGCCTTAAGGATCCCTTAAGGAACTCTTATAGAAGCCTTAAAGAACCCTGAAGCCGTGGCCTGGAGATCCTCCAAAGCCTCCGCGACCTTCGAGCTCCTTCCGCGCTCCTCCGCGAGGAGGTCCTGGGAACCCGCGGAACGGGGGGGATCCCTTTTAAGGGGTTTAGGGTTTAGGATTTAGGGTTTAGGGTTTAAGGTTTAGGGATCCTTAAAGGGTCCCTTAAAAGGCTTCTTTAGGGGCCCCTAGGGATCCTTAAAGGCGTCGTTGATTAAAGGGATCTTTAAAGGCTTCCTTAAACGGATCGTTGAAGGGAAGGGCCCTTTAAGGGATCCTTAAAGGATGCCTCAACGGGGTCCCCTTAAAGGGATGCATAGGGGTTCCCTAATGGATTTCTTAAAGGGCTCCTTAAAGGATTCCGCAAAGGAATCAGTAAAAGGTTCCTTGAAGGGATCGCTAACGAGATCTAAATAGAAGGGTTCTATAGGGGAATAGGTTTGGGGCTCAGGGTTTGGGCTTTTAGGGTCTCGGGTTCAGGGCTTAGGGTTAGGCAACCCCGAACCCCTATCTCAGTGGCTTTGATGAAAAATATTGGGGGTTATGCCGGGGCCCTGCGAGAAAACAATGGGATCTTACGGTTTAACAAAACTTTACTCGGTGCTTTATCGGGATTTGTAGATTCGTGGGATGTTATGAGGCTTTGCTGGGTTCTATATGATTTTCCAGGATTCATGATATATCAAGGGATGAGTCCTTTGTGCGGGACCCTAAACCCTAAGCCCTAAACTTTAAATAAACCCTGAAACCCGAGGCCGTAAACCTTGAACTTTTAAGCCTCCACCGCAAACTCCAAAAAACAAAAAGCCCTCAACAAAGAGAACTAACCCCTTAACCCCTACATCCCCTATACATCCCTTATAGATCCCTTCAAGGAGCCTTTTAACGAAGCCGCTAAAAACCTGCTCGAAACTTGCAAGGGTCCTCTCTGGGCCGGACCCTAAGACCTAAACCTTTAAACCCTAAACCCTAAACCCTAAAAAAACCTACAGTAGAAGCCAGAAAGTTGGAACATGGCTTTAGGAGGATTAGTGCTAGGATCCCTTATACTTTACCTTAAGGGCATGAGGCCAATGATGTTCCAACTTTCTGGCTTCTACTGTACACCCTAGAAACACCAAAAACACTTTAGAGGTTTTCTGGGGTCCAGAGCACCTGCAGCCTCTGCCGCTCGTCCCGGAGCTCAAAGATCTGGGCTCTCAGCTGCGCCTTTGAAAATTCTGAGGCTTCCTTCAAGGGTTCCTCAGATAGGGTTCTTAAAGGGATCTGCAAGGATTTAGGGCTTTAGATCTGGGGTTTTTGAAAGTGCGGCGGCCTCTCTCCGCCCACAGGTCGCACGGCCCAAGGGTTTGGGGTAGAGGCGTACTTTGAAGTTCATGGGTAGTCATCGGTGGGGTTATAAGTCCTCGAATATGGGTCACGAGTATAGCTCACCCTACTTATGACCCCACTTACAACAGGAACCTGATTAAGAAACCCTTGGGCGTACAACCCCAAAACAGTAGGATTCATACAAGGAACCCTCATAAAGGCCCCCCAGGGTTTCTTCATCAGGTTCCTACATTACGCAAGAGCCTCCAAGTAAAAACTGCCCTAAACCCTAATCCCGAATCCCTAAACCCTATAATCCTATAGATCCCTTTAAAGGAACCCTACTAATCCTATAGATCCCTTTAAAGGAACCCTACTTGATAACCCTGCTCCCTTGTGGCCTCGCAGAGGACGGACTTGTTCAACTCGGCCGCCCGGTCCACCTCTTCAGCCTCGGTTTAGGGTTTGGGATTTAGGGTTTAGGGTTTAGGGTTTAGGTTCTAGGATTTAGGGTTTAGGTTCTAGGATTTAGGGTTTAGGGTCTAGGGTTTAGAGTTTAGGGTTTAGGTTCTAGGATTTAGGGTTTAGGGTTTAGAGTTTAGGGTTGAGGGTTTAGGTTCTAGGATTTAGGGTTTAGGGTTTAGAGTTTAGGGTTTAGGTTTTAGTGTAGAGGGTTTAGGGATTAGGGTTTTTGGGTTTAGGACATGAAAAGGAGGCGATCCACTGCCCTCAAGTTTGATGTACAGGGCTAACCTATAGGTTTGGGGCTCGCGGTGATTATGGTGAGTACCAGGGTTTACTACAAGGGCCTCAGAATAGGATTTTGGCGTACCTTACAGTATCATGAAGAGTATGGAACCCTCCGGAACAGTATCGTGAATATTCCAGGCGGCTCCGGGGGGCAAGAAGGGTGTTATGGGGGTGTGGACTCTTGGGGCTTACGGTTGATGATAGAAAAATCCTGCATTACCCATAATAAGGAATATACCATGATTCCCATAGTTTAGGGTCCTTAAAGTAATGCAAGATTTATATCATCAAAACTAACCGGTGGTTTTGGGGGTTCCTTTGGCTCTTTAGCTCCTTATTTAATAAGGATTATCATCATCCCTGGCTCCTTAGCTCCTCCAGTATCAACGCTTAGAAAAGTAGCGCTTAAGTAAGGCCGGGAGAAGAGGTGCTCGACTCTTCCGGTGTTTGGTTCGAGTTTCGGGCTTAGGGGACGAGCGGTTCAGGGTTTAGGGGCTTCGGGTTTGGGGTTTAGGGGCTTCGGGTTTGCGGTTTAGGGGTGTAAGGTTTGGGGTTTAGAGGTTTAGGGATGTAAGGTTTGAGGTTTAGGGTTTAGAGCTTAATAGGTTTAGGGTTTAGGGAGATGCAAAAAAGAGGACCGCAGTAATGAAGATATGTTTTTGCAACGAGGAACCCCAAGGAAGGAAACTCATAGGAAGTCTGATTATGTAGGCACTTGTACTGCTCAAACTTAGAGCACTGGTTGAGGTTCACATGAATACAGGTTTTTCAATAATTGCGGCTCGACATGTATTCATAAGCTGTACCATATTCTTCGAAATGCACACGAAGTAGCAATGACGCTCGCGCGCTGACACCACCCCTACACTCTGCAACACAGCATATTGTGATATACGGTTTATGCTGGGAGCATCCCCTTAACAACATCAAATGTGCACACGCCCATACGCCAATTTTTATAAGACGCCCCATATAGATTCAGCAAAAATCCCCTAAGGCCAATAACAAAAAAAAGAAAGCCTGAACCCGTATAGTAGCCGTCTAGAACCAAGAAAAAGAACCCTAGATGTCAACCGTATACTCATATGAGGCTGGGATGCTCGGAGGGTAGCCACCTCTTGCTGCAAGAGAGAGAGCTCGAACTTGCCGTCAGCCGACTCTTTCTGCAAGTCCTTCACCCCAAATACGAAACCGCACATAGCACAGAGACAAAGGTTGAGGCTTGAGGGAATTATAGATGGGAGTTTTCGGGAATAAGGCTTGGGGAAGGGGTTTAAGGTTTTGGATATATGGTTTACAGTTTAGAGTTTAAGGTCTAAGCCGAGGCCCAAGCCCAGTCCCTCAACCCTACACTACGGTCCTGGTGTCTTTGGGACAACTCGTCCAGCTGCTTCTCTTTGCTCTGCAGCACCTGGACTTTGAAGTAACCAGGGAGAAAAAAGTATAGACTTTGATTTCATAATGGGTTCCCTTTAAGTAACAGGTCCCAAAACGAGTATTATAGTATGATACTCCAAAGCCCAGTTCTTGACACGCTGGAAGCTCCTGGGGGCTTGGGGAACTTGGAGGTTCATGGGTAGTTCTAAGTAGGGTTCCTTTAAGTGTCTGTTTAAAGGGATCTAAAGTACTAGACCT